TCGTCTCCATTCTTCGCCGCGTTCGCGCCTACCACTGTCTCTATACAATATTAAATCTTTTGTAGTTCATTATTATTGAATAAGTTATAATTAAATCCAGTGTAAATTAAAAAAAAGGGATTTATAGAGTCCCGTATAACATTGGAGGCAGCAGTCACTGCTGATCATTAAAAAAATTAGGTATTCGAGTTAGTAGTTACCTAGTTATTGTGGGCCATTTGATTACCACTAACAGTGCTTTTAGGTATGTCAAGCACTGGTCATCGTTCTCGTCGAACCCGTCGCTTGCGACAAAGGACTCTACGAGTAAATTAACCCACAGACACAGCCTACTGAGTTTTTCGCCGGATCTTCTCAATGGGTTGCGTTTCTGATCCGGTGGTAGATTCTGAGAAGCACTGCTTTTGCTAGGGTTAGTGTTAACGACGTCGTCAGATTTGAGCCCCGTGACCTCACCTACTTGTCAGGTTACGCTGACATAGCCTCTCAAGGCTTATAAGCTTAAGTAGGAAAAAAAATCAAGTGGATTTCGGTAAGCACTGTACAATAACTTGAAACTATTATGATAACCATATCATTTAATCTACAGTTCCCTGCGCGTGGTGGTCGGCACCAATCAATGGAACTCCGGTGGCCAGATCTACGCTGTCGCTAGAAACATCACACATCCAAACTACGTATCTCAAACATTAAAGAACGATCTAGGTCTCCTCATCACCACTTCTGATGTAGAGTATAATGACCTAGTCAGACCAATTGCATTGAACTACGATTTCATGCCAAGTGGTTTTCCGGTCAGGGTTGCTGGATGGGGCAGGATTGGGGTAAGGTATTTTTTGTTAAAATAAAATATATAAAAAGCACTAAGGTGTTGCTGCAAAGTCAACAAAATATGTCTCAAAACAAGTAGCTCTCAAAAAACCTTAAAACCAAGATGCCCGGTGTACTAGTATCGTTCGATGGCACTGTAACCGTGTTCAAATCCCGCCGGCGCGGCAGGTACCAAATTTCCAATGAAAAACGTACTTAACACAAGTTCACGAATGACTTCCACGGTAAATGAATAACATCGTGTGATAAAAAACAAACTCGCAAATTTGTAATTTCCGTAATTAATATATAATTGAGCGTATCCCGCGATTCCCATGGTGATGTACATACATGGATTTCGGTAACACGGGGGTCGGAGAAGGGCGTTCGTCCAGCTCCGGCCCCTGTGAGGAGGCAGTCTCCTCCCGGTGATGGTCACGGGGCGACCTGAGGGGTGTCGAGGCTGCGCCGCACGCTACCGTCGCTCTAGCGCGCTGGCACCAGAAGGATAAGACGACGCGTCGTCGACTGTGGGCCGCGATACAGTCCGCATTCCTGTAGTCGCTGTCGTCGCTGGACATAGTACTGTGAAAAAGTAGACCTGTCGGCAGTATATGGCGTTCCGACCCGGCAAGCTGATTCTGACCAAGGGGTATCCTGGAACACCAGCGACATCGCCCGGGCGGCCTGATAGAGCCGCCGTACCGCGGAGATCGGCGTCATTTGTCGTCGACTATGGCCTCGACGACCCGTCGGTCAGGCGTCCTAGGGGTAGCGCCGCGTGTCTGGTTGAAGTGTTGACCGCGGGAGCACCCTACGCGGACCGGGTTCTGACCCCAGGCGGAGATCGGACGTCGGGTGTAAGAGTGCAGGGGAGTCGCTTAGTGCGATAGGGCCCTATAAAAACCCTTGGGCCCGCAGCCTGCTCCCAACATCCGCAAATCGTCAAGTCCCACATACCCTACGTATTTGTGCCGCGAAGCCACCTTGCATACTTGTAAACGTTTACTACTACTGGGCCTTGATATCCTCATGCTGGTTGGTCCTTCACGGCACTCATCTTTTAGAGCTTATGAAAGAACTTCCAACCGTACCAGTCACTAAACTTTGTCGTATCGCTCTTGTCAGACCGATCGTGGCCGTCATTCAGTATAATTGCTCTGGACAGATGCTGTACGCATCACGAGCAATCGCCACTTCTCCAGGTTTGTGGTGAGCTAACTGCCGACTTGACTTGGTCGATCCAACCTTCCACGCGCTCTGATGTCTTCTACTTTGCCCTGAACGACAAGGCGCTCTATGGAGTAATTTCCAGTTTCCAGTTAATAGCAGATTGATTTTACAGCGTAACCAGCCCCTGTCTCCCGACCTCCTGGAGATCAACGCCCGTATAATCGACGGTGACGGCTGTGTGAGGGCTGTACGCCAAGCGATCATTGACCTCGGAATCCAAGCTCCACCTGTAGAACCACACATCGAGATTTGCACGTTCCACGCTGCTGGTACTGGTACCTGTAATGTAAGCATTCCATTTTTCCATTCATAAAGCTATGCAAATTATAACATGAACTAATATTTCAATTCGCGGCGATTTTTGAATACGCTTTTATTGGCTTCAGACGTATGTATGTAACGGAATCTTTGAACATGATTTTGACCCCCTTCAAAACGTCGGATTAACTCGAAATTTGGTATACTTATTAAGGACCGATGACAATGCAATATTAAAAAAAATATTGAAATTCAACTAAAAAAAGAAAAATAAATAATAGTTAAAAAAACTAACAAAATACGCTTTTATAGTGAATCCAACTAAAAAATTGAAAATAAATTTGAATTAAAAATAGTGTAAGAGAAAATTACTTTATTGCAAAAAAGCGTGGGGTGCTTAATAACCGAATCGCTATCTTCTTCTGCATCACATAATCATCGGACTGTCATCTCGAAGAACACCTTATAGTCATTCTACAACACAAATCAAAAAAGACCCTCCGTTAATCCAGTAGAAACCTATCAAACCAATGATGTTATAGTAAAAAGAGGTAGATAAGTTACTTGAGTTCGTAAAGTGGCGCCGTAAAACTGAGCTAATTAGCGCACTCAAGCTTAGTCTCGTGAAAGCATTGGTAACGTTGACTGTGTTTTTTGTTCCGCGAAATTTCTTTAAAATGCCGTCCTGTGTTAAGCGACACTGTAGAAACTATACAAGAAAGACNAGCCCACCTGGTGTTAAGTGGTTACTGGAGCCCATAGACATCTACAACGTAAATGCGCCACCCACCTTGAGATATAAGTTCTAAGGTCTCAATTATAGTTACAACGGCTGCCCCACCCTTCAAGCCGAAACGCTTACTGCTTCACGGCAGAAATAGGCAGGGCGGTGGTACCTACCCGTGCGGACTCACAAGAGGTCCTACCACCAGTAGGACATTCCCTCAAAGAATCGAAACGACAATCGACAAATCACTTCAGTTGGCCACGTAGGGCACCGGTGACCTACATGGCAATCAAAGGCATAATAATATGTTTATGCCTTAAGTTAAATACTCTGTTTGCCAGGGGATTTTCTTATTTGAAGTAATAGGTTGGGGAAAAAGTCTTTTCGCATTTTAGTATGTATGAGCTTGTAATAAAATATCTTTGGCTATACTATTTGTATCTGGCTGGTTTTGGTATCATTAAAAGTTTAAATTTTAAACAAGATAATTCCAAATTCAAATTTGGAAAATGTGTGATTTTTATTTATTTATTTTTCGTACTGTCAAGATGAGTGAATCTAATGAAGAAATTCGATACATTTTAAAATTTTACTACAAAATAGGTAAAAATGCAAAGCAAGCCGCGAAAAAAATTTGCGATGTTTATGGACCTAGTGCAGTGTCTGTGAGAGTAGCACAAATTTGGTTTAAGCGTTTTCAATCCGGAAATTTTGATGTCAAAGATGCACGTCGCCCTGGTCGCCCTATTACGGATAAAATGGATGCCATTTTTGGAAAAGTGGAGCAAGATCGGCATATCAGTAATTACGACGTAGCTGAAAAACTGGGAATTGACCACAAAACAGTTTTGGCGCATTTGAAAAAAAACTGGGTACACAAAAAGCTCTAAATTTGGGTACCCCACGAGCTCTCTGAAAGAAATATAATGACCAACAGAAACCGTGTACTCATTTGTAATTATTTAGTACGACGTAATGAAACCGAATCATTTTTGAAGAAACTGATAACCGGTGATGAAAAGTGGATCATGTACGACAAGAACGTTCGAAAAAGGTCGTGGTCAAAGGCCGGTCAGGCTTCACAGACTGTGGCGAAACTGTGGCATTATTCATTATGAGCTATTACCACCAGGCAGGACCATCGATTCTGAACTTTACTGCAAACAACTGATGAGATTAAAGCAAAAAATTGAGAGAAAGCGGGCGGAATTAATCAACAGGAGGGGTGTGGTTTTTCATCATGATAACGTTAGACCTCACACATCACTAGCCACTCAGCAAAAATTAAGAGAGCTTGGCTGGGAGGTTTAATGCATCCGCCGTGTAGTCCTGACCTTGCACCTTCAGATTTCCACCTGTTTCGGTCTCTTCAGAATTCTTTAGGCAGTGTCAGGTTAACATCACGAGAGGGCTGCCAAAACCAATTGTCGCGGTATTTTGATCAGAAGCCCCAAAATTTCTATAGCAATGGGATCATGTCCCTACCTACACGATTGCAAAATATTATCGAACAAAATGGTACCTGCATACTTTAGTTAAATGTAAATAAACTTTATTAAACATGTTGTGAATTTTCTTAAAAAATGCAAAGAAACTTTTTCACCAACCTATTATATAGTTTGCTCTTCTTTTCTTCCACATGCCCTTACTAAATATTAAGGGAGAAATGAAATACAAATAAAATAATTATAGTATGTAAATCTTCAGGTGTGATTATATTCCTTATTTTAGACTAGTTGGTGATACTGAAGTGCCAACCGTCAAAAACGGTAGCCCACTGCTGGGCGCACATCGATGCTATTCACAAATACTCTTTTATTTATTTATTGCTTAGATGGATGAACGAGCTCACAGCCCACCTGGTGTTAAGTGGTTACTGAAGCCCATACACATCTACGACGTAAATGCACCACCCACCTTGAGATACAAGTTCTAAGGACTCAGTATAGTTACAGTTAGGTCCTACCATCAGTAAATTTTTGTTTACTTACGAATTTATCAAGTATTCTTATTTATGTATGAGCTTACTGTATGATGTTGTTTAATTTTGTCTCTTTTTAATGCCACATTTTCGTTTCATCAGTCAAATTGTGACGGGATAAGATTTCAAAAGTTGTATCCTTTCTTTTCATGATTGAAGAACTACTGTTGGCTTTGATATGCATAAAGAGAAGCTTATAAAAAGCTCCAATACGATAGATACGATAACATTGATTTATCTACAAGTTTTAATTGTACTGTTAGACTTTATATAAATTTTAAGATATTCAGATAATTCCACGTTGGTTGTTATTATTGTAGCTTCTTCCTTGGGCGTGGTAGGCACGTACCGCGAGCAAACTTAGAACGAGTAGCGCTGAAAAATATTGATTAATACAGAAATCCAAATCGTAATAAACACTCATGTAAACTACTTATGCAGCTTAATGTGGTGTTCTATATAACTAGTCTGGCCATAAATACTGTTACATAAAAACTTTTTTTTTTTTCAACTTTTTAATCTATACTTATATATTAATACGTGAAGGAAAAACTTTGTATCCCTTTTTACGAAAATTGCGAACGGAGGAATATGAAATTTCCCACACTTATAGAGAATATAGAGAAGCAGTGCACAATGCAATTTTTTTTTAAAATAATGCATAAAATATATATTAAATCAATAAAGAAAACATTACACACACTACATACCATGTATTTGACGCACACACGCATGCATACTATTTATTGTCAAACTTTTGTTCTTGACGTCTGTGGTCAATATTGTTTGTCTTTACTAATATTTTTTTATAGAGTAGCCTTGGCGAAATTCGTGATTAGAGAAGTATAAAATACAATCATAATAGTGTACAAACTTACAATTCCAATTAATTATAGTCGAATTTCGACTACTGCGGGACCACTCGTTATTTTAAATTTGGAACACGTACCAATATTATTTTAAAAACTTCTTTCGATTTCGCGCCGTCTCACATATATTTTCGTGTTCACGTTGAGATATAAGTTCTAAGGTCTCAAGTATAGTTACTGTCTAGATTACACGATGTTATTCCTTCACCGTGGAAGTCAAACGTGAACATTTGTTAAGTACGTATATTATTAGAAATATTTAGTGCCTGCCTGCGGGATTCGAACACCGACACTGTCGCATTGCTCGATACGAATGCACGGGGCGTGTTATCTTTGAAGCCATGGCTGCTCGACGTTAATTTTACAAGGTCCGTGGAGGCGTTTAAGTTGTTTTTGAGCTCTTATGGTTCCCTTTGTTTGCCGCTAGGGGCGCTGTTCCAACTACATACAAATCTGAGTTAACTTTTACGACATCGAGAACGTTAATAAACTCCCACTGAACATACTGGTCAGGCTATGCACGTAAATAAACTTTTATTAAATTAGCATTGAAAATAAACTTACTTATCGAAATTACCATATTGAAAAACCCACGTAGGCCCATTTCCGAGGGTCTTGTGAATAGAAGCATGAAGAAACCGATTGTTGAAAATGTGATCACGATAATGGCGTATATCATGTACGCCTTCAAGTAGGAGAGGCGGTCCTAAAAAAAAGTATTGTTTGCGGCAATTACTTTATGAAAATTTCATTACGGCTTAGTGAGGCCGTATCTATTTTTACTAAGTCCATTATGTGTTCTCTGATTTGAGTTAGTTTCGGAGTTTCTTCCCAGGACTGTAGCTCTTTTGGTACTGTACTTAGAGATTGAGGGTTCTGTTCTATAGGCACATTGCTTGAGGGTCCCAATAGCCGATGTTGATTGGCGAGATAGAGGTCAAAGGTCTCAGAGGACGTAGTCCCACGAGACGGTCTGACCAAGTTAAATCTTCTCTGAACATCAAGTTCAACAATGCCCTTCACGAAGACAACAAGATTTCGCAGCAGATGGAGGGAAATTTGTACGCGAGAGAATGATAAAGCAGTGAAGTCACGATGACGTCAGTAATGAAGAAAGCGACGCGGGTAGGAGAAGCAGGATCGGGGTGAACGTCTGTAGACAGTGAGAAAGTTTCCGTCGAAAAGCGATCGATTAGTTAACGGTAGGCAGCGGCTTGGCTCTGCCCCTGGCATTGCTGAAGTCCATGGGCGACGGTAATCATTCACCATCAGGTGGGCCGTACGCTAGTCTGCCTACAAGGGCAATAAAAAAACAAATAATAGTTTCAAAAATCTAAAAAATAAACGCTTTTATCATAAATCCCACTAAAAAATAGAAAATAAATTTTAATAAATTTGAATTAAAAATAGTGTAAGAAAAAATGATTTTATTGTAAAAAAAGCGTGGGTTGCTTTTCAGGATATTATCAAAATAACCCTTCTTCTCATATCTGTTCATAAAGTATTTATAACTACTGATACCTTTTTCTTGCACTATTTTTAACTCAAATTTATTAAGATTTATTTTCTATTTTTTAGTGGGATTTTCTATAAAAGCGTGTTTTTTTAAACAATTATTTATTTTTCATTTTTTAGTTGAATTTCAATTTTTTCAATATATTTTTTAAATATTGAATTGTCATCGGTCCTTAATAAGTATACCAAATTCCGAGTTAATCTAACGTTTTCAACGGGGTCCAAATCATGTTCAAAGATTCCGTTACATACTGACTATACATAGGTTTAAAGCTAATAAAAGCGTATTTAATAAAAAAAAAGCGCTACCACAGTAAGTGGAGTGATTTCAAAGATTGCGCCAAAGTTGCTCTTTGAACTGAGCACACTTCACTCCATATATAAATGCCACATAACATACAACCTGCCACGGTATCGACGTTTTGGTGGATTTTGATTTAGAATGTGCTCCTTAATGAAATGCAAATGGAAATAATTATTTTTGTTTTTTTTTTATTGATTAGTTGGGTGGACGACCTCACAACCCACCTGGTGTTAAGTGGTTACCGGAGCCCATAGACATCTACAACGTAAATGCGCCACCCACCTTAAGATATAAGTTCTAAGGTCTCAAGTATAGTTACAACGGCTGCCCCATCCTTCAAGCCGAACTCATTACTGCTTCACGGCAGAAATAGGCAGGGTGGTGGTACCTGCCCGCGCGGACTCTCAAGAGGTCCTACCACCAGTAGTTACGCAAATTATAATTTTAATAATTTGAAAGTTTACCTTGTATAATCCGACGATCAGCAGCGCGGAGAAGAATAAACACAGTAGCGACACTAGTACTCCGACGGCGACCTCCGCGTTGTTAAGGTGCGTAGTGGTAGGCCTCATTGAAGATGGTTGGAAAACGAAACTCACGAATTCTAAGGCCTCGAGAATCTGTAATAATGTATTGAATTTTTATTAATATTTCAACAAATAGTACTGTTTTACTTGTTAAATTTGAATTTCAAAGTATGTTTTCATTAGGTATTCTTTTTTTATTATTATTGTATTCCATCTTCGACCCGATGAATTGCCAATGTTATGTACGCCATTATTGTCACATGCATCAGGCCATAAATTAAATAGTTTAAGTTATTTTCAATGTTAAATGTTTGTGATTTGGCAGTACTTTTTTAAATAAATAAATAAATGAACCGCGTTAGTACTGCCGCATAGAAAAATAGCTGGTTACGATTTCTGTTAGCGCAAACCCTCGACCCTGACATTTGTTTTCAATTGGATTATATCCGGTGTTTATAAATGAAGACAATTGTGAGATAAGGTATATGAAAGACCGTGCATTAAGTTGCTCGGCAGCTTTTGTCCTAGAATGAGAGCTTTCGTTTCTGTATGCGAATGCTTTACTTCACCTCTCGACGAAGCTCGGAAATAGCGGTGATCCCAAGCACGCACCGGTAGAGCAGTAGGGATCGGCTTGTATCTGCCCCTGCCACTGCTGACGTCCATGGGTGACGGAGACCACTCACCATCAGGTGGGCCGTACGCTCGTCTGCCTACAAGGGCAATAATAAAAATATGGTTTGCAATTGTTATTACGACAGTGGTTCACTACTTATATACTCGTGAAATGATGCCACACTTTGCCGTGACTATCATCCAACATTCTGTGAAACTAACAAATTGAAGTCTAAATACCGTCTACACATGATTACTATTATCCTACCTTCCAAGCCGGAACGAAACTTAGCGCAGAAACAGAATGGACATTTGTCTACCCGGATGGGTTAACGATGGGCTAAACCATCCGTAATTACGCAAATTATAATTTTTGCGGGCTTCATTTTTATTACACGACATTTGTTTTTGTTAATAATTTTTTAAATTGTTATTTTAACCGAAAATTTTGGAACAGTGGAAGTTTTATTTTATGCGCTGCGATCCCTATTCTACATAAGTTTGATATTAGTATAATATTTAAAAAAATGATATTAATATATTCATATAACTCAATACGAGTACGCTAGGCGTCTTATCATTTAGGTCACACCGACATGAAAGTGTCAAGCGAGCATCTTGAAGCTATTTAAAAACATGCGGTCCTTGTTCGCTTTTGCGATTTTTATCTTTCGTGAGTAAAAACTCACAAATAAAATTATAGCTAAGACGTAACAGGTCATCTTCTTCGACAGGCAACGGCCGCAAGCTGTGTCCGTTTTGAAGCATGCCTGCAGAAACGTCGGGCAAGCCATGATGAGCCTGAAAAAAAACCAAATGCATAGTAGAACCTGCCTTTTTACTGATTTTTGTATGATTACTGGGGGCCCGAAGGCCTTCCCAGTTTCACCTGGACAGGTGGGCGAGCAAAGGCTCAGCCGAGAGGGGTGGTAAGCTAACAGTTTAACTGAAGCTGTTTCATACGTTGAATTATAATTCAATAAGACTGTAGGCAATGCGACCGATCAAATCAGGATTGTGGAGAGTTCCCCCTTAAATTAGTGCAGTAGAATCTCCTCGAGTAAGGAGAGATAGTGGGACATCTTAAGACGCGTCATGCCGGTAGGCACACCCTCGAACATCACATGCAACTCATTTTTTACTGGTGGTAGGACGTCTTGTGAGCTACCACCACCCTGCCCATTTCTGCCAATAAGTAGTAATGCATTTCGGTTTGAAGGGTTGGGTACCCGTTGTAACTATACTGAGCCTTAGAACTTATATCTCAAGGTGGGTGGGTGGCGTTTGCGTTGTAAATGTCTATGTCTCCGATAACAACTTAACACCAGGTGGGCTGTCAGCTCGGCCACCCATCTAAGCAATAAATGACCAATTATTCTACTGCTAGAGATATTGTCACTTTAGGACTAGGATTCTCACTGTTCCAGTAGCGACAATTTTGACGGCTTACGAACCCACTGATATGGAAATCGGCCTCATCAGAGAAGAGGGTACTGTCGAAATTAGAAAATCGATTAAGCATTTCATTAGTAAATGCGACCCTTGCTCTGAAGTCAGTATCTTTCAATTCTTGTATTCATTGCAGCTTATATGGATGCGGTTTAAGATCCAAGTTTAAAATTCGTTGCAAGCTTCGTCGCGATAAGTGTAAGACAGAGTCAAACGATCTCTTGCGAGTAGACATTTATGGATTTCCGCCTACCGATTGCATCTTTCAAAATTATCTTCGGTCCTAGATGTTTTTGGACGACCTTTTGCTTGTGATTTAAACGTTGAACAGGTCTCTTCAAAACGCTTTAGCCATAATTTCAAAAAAATTAGTATCATCGTAGTCCATATTCAGAACAATCGACTATAACCTACTAACAATGAACGAACGAGAGCTCTTGTAATATTCGAGCATGCAACATGCGCGACGCTTTCCGTCGAAGTGACAATATTAAGTGTATTATCTATGGAAGAGACTGAGAAGTGACTAAAAGTTATTGGTCCATGAGCCCCCCTACCCAACGAAGTAGGCTAACCCTGTCCACGCGCTTTCTACCCCGCAAAAAAGGATGATGCAATCAATATGCACCTTCTGTGGTGTCACCCAAACGACGGGGCAACGCAAAGCCTCCGTCGCCCGAAGAATTTCTTATCGGATCTCCCGGACCCACTCTCGGTGCTTTTATGCTCTTCAAGCACGGGTCACCAATCCTCGTTGAACTCCTTGATTACTATGAAGAGTTCGACCAGCGAACTAACCCATAGGCACAACCCACTGAGTTTCCCGCCGGATCTTCGCGTCGCGAGATCTCATGCGTCGCGATTCCGATCGGTAGTAGATTCTGCGAAGCACTGCTCTTTCTAGGGCCAGTATTAGCGAGCTCTCTCAGGTTGAGTCGCTGAGCTCACCTACCCGGGCGTAGCGTGAATAACCCCTTATGTTTCCAGCGAATATGTAGAAAAAAAAGAGTCGTATATTACTGCATGCAGCTCCTTTGCCAATAGACTGTGAAACTCATGCTTTCGATAGAAGAAGGATACATTTTTTTTTACGTTTCTCATAAAGTAGACTTTGAAATCAGAATTTTGTAAGTACTAATTCCATTTTTAGACGAATTACAGGATGCAGATAGTATGTTGGTTTTCCCTTTCAACGTTTTACCGCGAAGATTTTATTTTTAGGTGAAACTTATGTATCTATACTAATATATAAATCTACAGTGGTTTTTACGGATGTTCCGTTATAACTACTGAACCGTGCATCCTATTGACTTAAAGCTTGGTATCCATGTAGAAAATACATGTACTTAATGGATAGGCTAATATTTATATGAGTGTTGGACTCCCTAATAATAATGACAATAAATAATAATGTTAATTCTAAATGCCCAGCGAAGCTGGCGATTACGGCTAGTTACTTATATTTTCAAAAATGATGTATGTTGATTTTAATTTGGCTAATTTCGAATATTTGTAACATAACAACTTAACATCATAAATTACGTCATTGTTATTAATTTATTCTGTTTTCCGGCTTGGCGTATGGTCATTCATCCCTATATCTTAACAACCCATAATAGACGCAAGAAACAATTATAAGCAAACAATCGTATACCTTAAGTTCTGAGTTACAACTCCTAAAATCCCGTTCTGTTTTTATGAAGTCATGTGAAAGTAAACTTGTAACTAATACGGAAAGTATATTCATTCTCGAAATTAAATATTTCCACTAGGTAGATAAGATGAGAAAAAAACAATCACTTATTGTTATTTAAGATACCTATATATATATAAATCATAAATCTTTTTTAACCTACAACTAAGTCAAAGAAGTTATCAAACTTTGAGAAAACGAAATATTAAATGCTTGCACTCACTTGAAATAAGCACTTCGAACTTGTTTAAAGACTAAAATTATTAATAATAATTGAATGAATACACTGCACTCCACAGCGCGGTCTGCAACTTCCACAAACCGACTTTAACGGGTGGTGAAATTTGGAACTACGCTGTGACCTATTATTTTACGACTACAGCGCCAAGCTCAACGGCAAATAAGTAGACATTGCAAAATGTGCCCTAATGTGTAGTCCGTACTCCATTAGCTAAACAATTTCATCAATTAAACGCAGTTATCCTACGTTTGCCGCTAGGCGCGCTGTTTCAACTCCAGACAAATTTGAGTTAACTTTTACGCGATCGAGAAGTTAAAAAACTCGCATTAAGCACACAGTGCGTTTGTACTTTGCGTACATTTACTATACACGGTCGATAATAAAATATATATAAATAAAAAAGTCTATGTATGTCTATTTTTTCTACATAATATGTTTTTTGTGTTCCCTATAGACGCCGAAGCGCCTAGAACGATTTCGATTAATTGCTCAAGAAACGTTGAGATTGGTGGAGCAGATGATTTTGTGAAGTTTGTTAGTGATTAAAACAATTTCAAATCAAAAATTAACGGACAAAATGGCCGGGTTGAACTAGTATTTATATTATGATGTCAGATTATTTTTTTAAGAGTCGTGTATTTCATTCATAGCAGTATTTTTCGAGTGTTACTTTGTTACGGAGCACACTGCTCATGGCAGTACTTAATTTTAATCTTTAGTAAAATAGGAATCAGGATAAAAAACGACTTTTGGAAAACAAATTTTGGTAGGTGGTTTTAAATTATCCGTTAACTAGCGACCCGCCCTCGCTTCGCTTCGGAAACATTAAAATACAAATGAAACCCAAAAAAAAAAAAAAAATTTTTTTAAATAAAGTAGCCTATGTTCATCAGGGACAATGTCGGCTTCTAATGGAAAAATAATTTTTCAAATCGGTCCAGTAGTTTCGGAGCCTATTCGAAACAAACAAACAAACAAATCTTTCCTCTTTATAATATTAGTATAGATATGCTATGAAAATTTAGAAGATATTAAACCCATAGACCCATTTTTTGTAACTGTTTATTCTTGTGCTCTCATTCTTGGCTTTATTTTGCACAAAATTTGAAATTACATTATATTCATTATAATAAATCACATTACCTATATAAAGTGTAAATAATATTATTGTATTTATCATGTAGAGACTATGAATACTGTCGTTAGTATCGCGTTAAGATAGCTTTTAGTATTCTGTGCGAACTTCAGATTTATTGGGAGTTCTGCTCGCGGGAAAAAACGTTATTCTAATTACGCTGTTCATTTTAATGAATTATAGCCAGGTCCTATATTCACGGCGTATGCGCAGACTGTTTCCGATCACTCTGTATGAAAAGCTTACACTATAAGCCTGTCATTGCAATCATTGTTTGGGATTAAAAGTGGAAATAGCACAAATAATTGCGGTAAATAAATTAAGGAAAGGAAATATAGGAATAGGAAGGAGAGGTAGGTAATAAATTAATTAAATGCATGCACCTTTTTTATTTAGCTGACTTTTCGACTGGGCGTTATCTTTTTCACTATACTTGAGACCTTAGAACTTATATCTCAAGGTGGGTGGCACATTTACGTTGTGGATGTCTATGGGCTGCAGTAGCAACTTAACACCAGGTGGGCTGTGAGCTCGTCCACCCATCTAAGCAATAAAATAATAATAATTTGATGATTCATTTGATTATTCGTGTCTCAGGTGGTGGGCTCACTTGGTAAATTCCCTATGGACCGGGAGCATGTCTGTAATCTAGAGCAGTGCTTCTCAACCTTTTTTCGTTTTGTACGATTTTGTAAAACTTTTGATTTACGAGTAACCCTCTCCTGATAACTCCTATACCATTCATATCGACTCCATTACTAAAATGCGTCTAATTTCTCATGACATTCACATTCACACATTTAGACAGGCGGCATACCTATAGTACTGTATTTTATCAACGCCCGTCTTAGGTACGGAAACGACGAATATTTGGAAATAGGACCCCAGTTTGAGAATCGCTGGTCTTGAGCAGTTTAGTCAAGGCGTTCACGAAATATAAACATGTGACAACAACATTTGTGTGTATTTCATTGAGGAAATACACACAAACGCACGGTGGCCGGCAAGAAGTGGATGAGGAGAGCCGCAGACCGGGCTCAGTGGTGTAGATTGGGAGAGGCCTATGTCCAGCAGTGGACGACGGTGGGCTGTTGATGATGATGATGATGATGATGACAACAATATTCAATCGTTTTTGTAAAGGTAGTAAAAGTACTGGTTCCCCCATATCTTAAACACTTAAAATCAATCAGCTTAACTAAAAAAAAGCATAATAAACTATAAACTATTGTTATATAATCTTTATTAAACTTATGATCGTATTCTTTCGATTAAATAAAGAGCCAAGAAATATAATTGATGCTACCGCGGCGTACCTAGAAATACATTACCTACCCTAAAGTTTCGGAACATAGATTTCAAAATAAGGTCTAATATAACTAATAAAATTCAAATAAAAAAAAAAGGTTGCATAACAAATTTTATATTGGCGCATTGTTTTTGAAAGAAATGTGTTGTTTTTTATATTTAGAAGTAATTTTTATGTTTGTTGACTTTTGTTTTTTTATTGCTTATATGGGTGGACGAGCTCACAGCCCACCTGGTGTTAAGTGGTCACTGGAGCCCATAAACATTCACTACGTAAATGCGCCACCCACCTTGAGATATAAGTTCTAAGGTCTCAAGTATAGTTACAACGGCTGCCCCACCCTTCAAACCGAAACGTATTACTGCTTCACGGCAGAAATAGGCAGGGTGGTGGTACCTACCCGCGCGGACTCACAAGAGGTCCTACCACCAGTAACGTTAGTTAGTAGTGTACCACCGGTAGTGTTAGTTGGAAGAGCTCGAGAAGCCACGTTCAGCGGCTTTGTTTTATTTTCCCACACTAGTACACTTTCGCAGATTCTAAACGGTCATTATGCCACTAATATTACACGTTTGAAGAAACACTAAATTAACAAAACAAAACATTTTACACAACTTCGATCCTCGCATTCCCGCCAAAATCTCTTTTTTTTTAAGGGATTTTATGACCTGGTAACTAAGACTTTTAAGTTATGTCTTATTTTAACTTATATTCTTATTTTTATAAAAAATGATAATATGGAGTGAAATGAAGTGAAATGAAATAAAGATGATTAATTTGAGACATTAATCAACTGGGATGAAATTAAATGAAATGAGATAATATGGGATGAAATATCATTGGCTACTCGGCCATATTAGGCCGGAGTCGGTCACGCTCAGTGTGCTTAGAGCGAGTTTTTTAACGTTCTCGATAACGTAAAAGCTAACTCAAATTGCTTTGCAGTTGGAATAGCGCCCCTAGTGGGAAACGTAGGCAAACTTTCCAACTCCATAGAGATCTGAGTTAACTTTTACGCTATAGAGGGCGTTAAAGAACACGCACTAAGCACACGGCTTGACATAGCGGTTTAACAACTGACTCTCAGACACAAACCTTTACACTTTTTTGAGTAGAAGCATTGTAAAGCTAGCCTACGTAGCCAACGTTTAATTAATACGTACATTGGTGTGCGCACGTAAGAAAATTGATTATTAATTAAACAAAAATTCTTCTAGTTTTACATCAGATTTGAGAACGTTCACTGCTAACGTGTATGGACCATCTGTAACGAGAATAAGAGTTAGTAAAATAATTTGTAGTAGCTACGTATATCGAATCAGGAATGTGGCGATTTGCAGGGGAAACATGGTAAAACATATGAGGCTGTCAGCGCAAAAGTGGCCTAACCCACAATTTTTCATAATCATGCTTATAATTATGTATATTGCGATTTATTTAAAATATAATAAGTTTTGATGCAAAACCGGCCTATCCATCATTTCACCCATAGATAACAAACAGATGGCTTTGTAAACATTATTTTTGCGCGTATTGTTTTTTTGCATACTCAAATTAAAATTCATGAAAACTTAAGCTTAATTGCTCCATAATAACTATGGTAAGCTTAGGCCACTTTTGCACTGACGGCCTCATATATCTTGAAGGATTGCGAGATTGAAGTGGTAGTGGGAAGGCACACCGCTCTAAATACAAAAGGTCGCTGGGGCTAGCTTCCACGCCAAAACATGAGGTCGAAGACTTAACTTGTATTGGAAATAGTTAATTTGTAAAGAATTCCCTTTCCACCACATTACTCCCAAAAAAATTGATGTGGTCTAAACAAAAACCAAGCAAGTACCAAAATAAGGATGCTACTATAAGAATACAAGAAGTCACCTACCAACATTGAACCATTTGTTTCTTGGGTATCCAGTCTCTTCTCTTGAAGACACTATAGCTTCCCGCAGGGCTAGTGCGACGCAAATGGACAAGCACGTCGGAGGCTCAGCAACAGCTGTCATCATAGAAGAACAATGTGCAGAAATAAATGAGATAGATTTGTATATTGTTATGGCTTCCGAGTTTTTAACACCTGTAGAGCTACCAAGTCTTATTTTTCTCCACCTTATCCCACTATTATAGGTGGGGTCGGCACAGCGAATTTATCGATTCCATTCTCTTCTATTAGCCGTCATCTCAACACTCACTCCTCTCTCTCTCTCTCTNGTCATCATAAAAGAACAATGTGCAGAAATAAATGAGATAGATTTGTATATTGTTATGGCTTCCGAGTTTTTAACACCTGTAGAGCTACCAAGTCTTATTTTTCTCCACCTTATCCCACTATTATAGGTGGGGTCGGCACAGCGAATTTATCGATTCCATTCTCTTCTATTAGCCGTCATCTCAACACTCACTCCTCTCTCTCTCTCTCTCATATCGTCATTCACACACTCCATCCATGTCTTCGTCGGTCGACCTCTTCTCCCTCTAGAGCTACCAAGTAATTGGCCAAAACAGTATCATATTTTTAACAATTTAAAACGATGTTAACCGACCGGCTGACTCAAAGGCTATTGAACAAAAACGTTAAGTTATGAAGGCGTGGCTATTTGCATTAGGTAATAATGAGGTTTGCCGAATCTAGAGTAAAAGCTACTCTAGATTCGGCCGTGGATGTTTTAAGTCGACTTAATGAATCATCTAAGAATAAGGAGCAGCGTTTTACGATCGCCAACTGGCATTTATTAGTGGTAGTGCGTATTATAAACCCGCACTGGTGGGTACTAATATCCTACCTACTTCTGTTGCAAAGTTGAAGGTTGGGGTAACCCTGAAACGTCGACCTCATGTCTCAGAGGTGGCCATATTTACGATGTGCCTTGAGCTGGCTCACTAAGCAATATATTTATATAAATATATCGAAGAACTAAACTGATATATAAAAGACCATGTATATGCAAACTGAAAGACATTATCCAAATTCACGATCCAGTTCCTTCAATTTTGTTTTGTGACGTGCTCTTGGGCAGTAACGATAAAGAATTGTAAACGCACCTCTTGCCCCAAGGGTGCCGATTGGGTTGTAAGAGTTCCTCCTGAATTGAATTCTAAAGTCTATCGGGATATCCTTAGTCAGAGGCACCTTGTAGTACCAAGTTCGGTCGGTGAGCAACTCTCCAGTTTTCTGATCATATATCAACTCTTCATGGGTCCAATAACCGACGCCCATCATGAATGCTCCTTCCACCTGCACAAAACTTTACGTTTGAATTCACGTTACGTGCACTTAAAATTAGTAGTAATCTGATAAAAATATATTAATTTTAGAAAAATCACCTGAATTAAAGAGGGAAAAATTTGCCAGCTGAGTAGAATTAGTCTGTTTATGAACGTCAATCTACAAGTCAGCTTACTATCACACTTTCCGACAGCGGAGTAGAGTTCATCCATAATACCTGGAATGCCTTTTTTGCTACGTACCATCCGGCTTTGGAATGAACTCCCCTTCACGGTGTTTCCCGAGCGCTATGACATGTAATTCTTCAACCGAGGCTTGTGGAGAGTACTTAACGGTAGGCAGCATCTTAGCTCTGCCTCTGGCATTGCTGATGTCCACGGGCGACGGTAACCACTCACCATAAGGTGGGCCGTATAATCTTCTGCCTACATAGGCAATTAAAAAAAACTCTTTAAAGTTGTTTCATCATTATTACCACTGTCTAAATTATCTAATAAAAAGCTGTGATGAACTATATTTATCTATGGTTAAATAAAATTACTTACCTGTCCGACATCTAATTCCGGATTGATACTGGTCCCTACATCTTCAATGATATCAACTCTCAGTATTTCATGTTCTCCCGTTATGACGTCCAGCTCTACCTCAGCGACGGCTGCTCCAGCGCATCTGTACGGATCTTGATCGTTTGGCGTCACGCGGTAACTGGTCTGCAGATTGATGCCTCTATTGAACGCGGCTTCGATAAGTATTTCCCAGGTCGGGTCATTTAGGGTCTCCCGAACAACTGATAAACGGTCGAGGAGAATTTGGCAGCATTTAATAGCACCGAAGCAGACAGATTGCGTGGTTCTGCTGCCTCCAGTCGTGAAGTTGTTAGGGTTCGTAGCGACAGTCGGAGGTTTACATATTACCTTATTAGTGGAAATTTTCAGTGTGTAAGCTACTGCCTGGATGACTTTTGTATTGATCCCTTGTCCTATTTCAATACCGCCATGTGTAACCACGACCGTGCCGTCTCCGTGGTACACAGACAACAAAACGTGATAGTCTACGACCGAAGAAGCCGGCCAGTTCATCATAGCTAATCTCAGACCTCGTTTCTTCCATCTATTCTCCTTGTTAAATTTCTCGACTTCTTCTTTGCGTTTGTAGTATTCGCTATCTCGCAGGAGTGTTTGAACGACTTCAGCTACTTCTGTGTACTGAGGATCAAGATTATTGAGACGAACTTCGATTGGATCACGTTCCAGTTCGTACGATATCCGCTCCATTAAATATTCAGCCATGGATATGGCTTCCAGGGAACCTGAATATACAAAAAGTTTAAATTCTTTTCGACTCGTTCCAATTTATAATTCCATTGATGAAACTTGTATCATTTGTTCGGTATAAATGGACTATGTCCAGTTGTTAAAGGCACCCCATAACGTTGACAATGTTTTTATCGGCATAAATGGTTTGCCGAATTTTCCCACTGCCATTGCAACGCAAATACCGATTAGCATTGAAATAAGTGGAAGTACCGGAGTCCATGGACATCACAACATGAATGCCGCCACGCCTTTCAAACCAGGACGCGGGACTGCTTTGCAGCAGAAATGACGTGGCAGTGATATCAAATCAGTTGAACCAGATAGTGACATTGCCTAGAATTGAGACCCTTTTGATTTGAAATTTATGATGGAACAAATGAAATACCTGGTGCTCTCGCATAAATATTCGACGCGGTATCAGTAACGACATTGAACAACTTGGACTGCCATCTTCTGTTATCGTAACAGTTCTTGACCCCCCCGATAAGGAAAGGCATTACGGCGTCCGACACGGTGTAGCCGTTATCTTCGTATATCTGGTACTCCATATACTGGATTTCACCGGAATCACTAAGCCCAACCTGTAATGGGATCTTTTATAATTACCACGAAGATTTTATCGCATTAATGTCTTATCCGACCCAGGCGATGCGATGGGGCAACGCAAGGTCGTCGTCGCCCGAAACATATCTAATCGGATCCCCCAGATCCACTTTCAGTGCTTTTAAGCTCCACAAACACTGGTCACCGTCCTCGTCGAAATCCACAAGTTCGACGAGCAAACTAACCCATAGACATAGCCCACTGAGTTTCACGCCGAATCTTCTCAGTGGGTCACGATTACATTTTTTTTTTATTGCCCTTGTAGGCAGACGAGCATACGGCCCACCTGATGGTGAGTGGTTACCGTCGCTCATGGACTTCAGCAATGCCAGGGGCAGAGCCAAGCCGCTGCCTACCGCTTAATACTCTCCATAAGCCTCGTTTGAAGAAGGAAGGAATTCGGTAGTAGATTCTACGAAGCACTGATCTTGCTAAGGCTAGTGTTAGTAAATTCTCTCAGGATGAGCCCGTGACCTCGCCTACCCATCCAGGTGTAGACGGAATGGCCCTTTACGCTACCAGCGAATAGGTAGGGGAAAAAAAGGTGGCCGGCAAAGAAAGTTGAAGACCCGGCTTAATGGTGCGGATTGGGAGAGGCATTTGTCCAGCAGTGGACGACTGTGGGAAAATAATGATGAGGCTTTTGTGTTTCAAAAATCTTCAAGGGTCTTCGAATTAAAGAAATATCTGCACCACCTCTAAAAAATGGACTTAGAACTCTCAACTTAGAACTCTAAGGGATTGACTGATGCCGCAATACAATTACGAAATATCGTTACGATCGTAATGCAACGACAAATCGTAAAGAGTGTGTTGAAAACTTTAGATTAATAGTTAAGTTACCTTTTATTTTTATTGTTTAGACGTCTAAACGAGCTCTCGACCCAACTTATCGGAGTCCATAGACGTGGACGCCGTAAATCACACTTATGTATATTTCAAAATCAACCATTCCTATTAATAATGAGATTAATTAACTGGTGGCAGGACGTCTTGTGAGTCCGCACGGGCTACCCTGCCTATTTATGCCGTGAAGCAGTAATGCGTTTCGGTTTGAAAAGTGAAGCAGCCGTTGTAAATATACTGAGACCTTAGAACTCACATTTCAAGGTGGGTGGCGGCATTTACGTTATAGATGTCTATGAGCTCCGGTAACCACTTAACACCAGGTGAGCTGTGAACTCGTCCACTCATCTACGCAATACAAAAAATACATACACAATATAATTTCTTGTCTAAGTGCCATCTCTAAAATCTAAACTATTATTAGATAGAATCTCTATATTGTGTAAACTATAAAATAAGTCCTCCGTGGTTCCGATCGAAATACTAGTAATAAATACTACTAGTACTACTAATAGTGTTAGTAGTAGTACTAGTAACTAGTAGTATAATTTTAGGGGGCTTTAATGAAATTGTTATTGTTTCAGGCACTCCAAGCATTGTAAGTTTGTGTTCCTTTTAAAAACAAACCTCGAAATCTCTCTGACTGGGCAGTCGTTTCCCGATCACTCGAAGGTTAGCCTGAATGCTCATTACGAAGCGGCACGGCCTATCCATGAGGTGAGTGACCAACGCGCATGCGCAGGCCACGTGAGACGCGCGCGATATCTTAGCCCCGTACCCGCCTCCACATCTAGGTACTGTCAGATTAATCCTGAAATTATTTTGAAACTAAACTAAATATCACAAAAAAAAAAAAAATATTTTTTTATTGCTTAGATGGGTGCACGAGCTCACAGCCCACCTGGTGCTAAGTGGTTACTGGAGCTGGAGGCGGAGTCGCTCGCTGCCGACTATCGGTGGCGCAGCGAGCTCCGTGCTCGGGGCGTGGCGCGTGTCCCCGAGAGTGAGCTGAGGGCGCGGAAGGCCCATTCTCGGCGGTCCGTGCTCGAGTCGTGGTCGAGGCGATTGGCCAACCCCACGTGGGGGCTACGGACCGTCGAGGCGGTTTACCCGGTCTTTGATGACTGGGTGAATCGTGGCGAGGGACGTCTCACCTTTCGTCTGGTGCAGGTGCTGACCGGGCACGGATGCTTCGGGAAGTACCTGCGCCGGATAGGGGCTGAGCCGACGACGAGGTGTCACCATTGTGGACACGACCTGGACACGGCGGAGCATACGCTCGCTGTCTGCCCCGCTTGGGAGGTGCAGCGCCGTGTCCTGGTCGCAAAGATAGGACCTGACTTGTCGCTGCCTGGCGTCGTGGCGTCGATGCTTGGCAGCGATGAGTCATGGAAGGCTATGCTCGACTTCTGCGAGTGCACCATCTCGCAGAAGGAGGCGGCGGGGCGAGTGAGGGAAAGCTCTCCTCACTACGCAGAAACCCGCCGCCGCCGAGCAGGGGGTCGGGACCGGGGTCGTATCCGTGACCTGGCCCCCTAAGAGCTAGGGGTCCCACCCGTTTTGTGCGGGGAGGGACCCAGACGAGGGGTGGCGTGCTCTGCACGCTCACCCGCAATAGGAAGCCGGGTGATGGTAGACCGCGTTCCCCCGACCGCTCTGGGGGAAGGTGTAACGCGGCGCCATCAAAGCGGGCTCTCGGCCCGCTGAACGAGGGAACCGGTGGTCGTTTCGCTGGCGGCCACCGGTCCGGCGTCCGTGGGACGGTGGGATGGATGTAATGTGCTCTGCGTCAACCCTGTCCCGCCGTTTCAATAGCCCCGACTGGGCTCCGGCCCGGTCCGAGGTAGGGCGCCGGTTGTGAGCGGCAGGAGTTTTTAGTGAGGTTCAACTCCCACATACCCCACCTGCCGCGCGGGTGGGGATCCGGCGATTTTCTCCTGTGGAAAAAAAAAAAAAAAGTGGTTACTGGAGCCCATAGACATCTACAACGTAACTGTCGCCACCGAACTTGAGAAATAAGTTCTAAGGTCTCAGTATAGTTACAACGGCTACCGCAATCTTGAAATCGAAACGTGTTACTGCTTCACGGCAGAATGATTGTGAATGAATGTAGCGAATAATTTACGAAATAGGCAGGTAGAAAGGCCACATCTCCGGAAAGATCCGGACTGAACATTAATCTGAATTTCGATTAATTGATCTTTGAGAAAAATCGATTTCAACTTTGATCGGACAAAAGATTGAATGACTAGTTTAAGAAACGAAAATGCCCACTAACAAAACTATTGTTATTTTTGTGTTCTTCTTTTGCTAATCTTAAATTTAAACTAACATATTTTGTGACTTGAAATAAAATCTCAACATTTAACTATTATAAATACTCGTAATTAATTGAAATTGCAGACTTTTTTCTTTATTACGATTTCTTATTATATTCTATTACCGATTGGATCCTCAAAAGCTGTCAAAATTATTCCTTCAAGAAAAATTTAGATCATTTGTCACATCGATTCACGCGAAATCGATTCAAATCGCGAAACGTTTCTATGGGTTTCGATTCATCACCATGTCATGATTTTCAAATGGCATCATGGATCAAAATTTCACTCCGCTTTGTTGGTAACAAAGTTTGTATTGGGATCATCTCAATTAGCTCCGTTGTACCCAATATCATATCATATTCAACTCTACCTGTTTTGCTCTATGTTTAAGCTCTCCGAAATACCGATGTGAACTGAATCTGTCCATTGCGTTGCCACAAATACATCCAATCCGTCTTCGCTTGGTCTCGTAACGCACGATAAGTTCTCCATGTGAAAGTGGTATTGACCTAAAATTGTGTCTGAGCCTTTGAGGACCCTCTGCACATTCGTTCCCCTGTCTCTAGGAGGGATTATTATGAAAAGTTTGACTCGACTTGGGTCTTTTGCTCTAGCATCGCGAATAGTTAGTATGGGCTTCCTGTCGACTTTGTATTTGACATGTACGAGTAGGGCTGCTCTGTTTGCCAGCTGTTCAGTTTCAGCCACGATCAGACCTATGGCTTGATCGTAATATTTTATCGTTTTTTCTGCGAATATCTCTTCGGGGAACAGTTGAGTCGGTACTCGTTGGGATAAGAAATTATTCTTGCCCGGTATGTCTTTCGCTGAAAAGAATGCTAGCACGCCTGGAATTTTCTGAAAAAAATACAGTTTTTTTTTTAATATTGACTTACTTCCCTAATTTTCAAAATATTGGTGGAAGAATTCGTGCTAAAATATCTAAGTACAAACAAAACGAAAACCCTCAAGATAGGCTTATGTTTAATCGACATATTCGCAACTTATCGCGTAGGACTCGTTGTGACTTGACGTTGTATTAAGAAATCACGGTAGGCTGCGACTTGGCTGAGGCTTGGCTACGATAGGCAGTAGCTTAGCTCTGTCCCTGGTATTACTAAAGTCTATGGCCAACCTTAACAACTCACCAACAGGTGGGTCGCATGATCGTCTGCCCAGAAGGGCAATAAAAAAAATCAAATTTGAAAAAAGAATACATAATAAGTAAGGTGGATTCAATTAGTCAAAAACCTCTTATATTTCCATTAAAACAGATTTTAATGGAATTACAATGCAAAAATGTTTCAGATTGGTTTATGTTTGGATAAATTTATATTATACATGTTCGTTTCTCTCTCTCGGAAATAAATAATCTCGTGCATTAATTGGAAATGCAGTAGAATAACTTACAAGAGCTGGTGTAGGATCGATTTCGACTATCTCCCCGGTTCCGACATCAGAGGTCACAAACGCACAGTATACTTCTGCCGGCTGCTTCGGTAAGTCATTCACGTATTGAGCTTCTCCCGCACATTGTACGAGGGCATCAACCTTCGGCATTGGTTCAGTCAGTGGCCAGATTATGGGATTCGTATCGTAAACTTCTGAGCCTTTCGATAGTGGACGAGTTTTCCGAAAGTCTCTGGCTCCTGTGCGGTAACGGGGATTTATCTTTTTTTTCGGAATAAGATTTAACAGTCCCTGTATACAGAAACAAAAATAGTAAAATAATAGTGTATTTGGTGCGTTTAGTTTTATTTTAAATATCATCATCATTTTTTTTTTATATTGAATTTGCCTACTGAATCCGTATCGTATATGACTGTAATTATGAACCTTCGAGCCAGATTTCATCTGCTCAGTATTTTACTCTCATCTTTTTCATCATTAACGAAAATATTAGTTTTAATAACTATTTATGAAAACTCCTAAAAAACCTTTAACCGGCTTATATTTAGTTTGATCCTTTTTCATTTGCAAATATCTACATAAAACTTACTTTGTAAAATAAACCCAAGGCCAACTTCTTTCTGAATTCGGGACTCATTTCTCCCGGAATTTCATCCACAATTAATTCCCCTTTCAATACCATCAGAGCGTGCTGCAGAACTTCATTGGTAAACACGTCTTTCCCTCTAAGGTACTTCTCAGTTTGCTTAGCGTGAACGAAATGTGCTGACAAACCGCCAATCACTATTCGAGCCGAATCGATTACACCTTTATTTTTTGCATTAAATTCATAAAGAAAACCGGTGTTCACTTGCGCATGAGCATTCTGGGCTCTTGGCATAATCTGAGAAAGGTAACATGTCATTTAGAATTTGTACTGTTTAGTCCTGCCGATGCACTGCAGAGCTTAATTAAACATTGAATAATATGTTATTCTAATAGTTTACTATGATAACTTACTTATCAGGCTACTAATTAGATCATACAGATAAACCCCGGTCATTTAGAGGTACGATTAGAGATAGACCCACGCTCCGTTCATAGTAATATTTATGTTGATCATTTCTCTTGCATAGTTCTCTCTTTTACTTTGGTTTTAAGGGCTAGAGAAATTGTTCGAAGCTTCGACTTTTGGACTTTTTATCCGATGCAATTTTAAACTCTCTCCCTAATTCATACTAGAAATACCAAACTTGATACAATCATGATGGTACACGTCTTTTTACTGCGAAGCAACCGCCACAATACGTTCCGGCTTGAAGAGAATGGTAAGTTTTGTTTCAATACTATCAAAACTCTCTTAAGACTGCATTATTCAAGTGGGTGGCAAATGACTTCAATGGGCAGTAACTCGGTGACAATAGGCTTCAAGCCGGTCGCGTGTTTATCTGCCTACCATCGTTAATAAAGGAAAATAATCTCTACTATCTCGTGACACGTGCGCTTTTCCATTAATATAAAGACAGTAAATTATACCTTGAACGAAACAAACTTGTATCGATGCGAAAACGGCGGAATTCTAATTTGATAAATAACTCTTCCGGTCATGTCCATTGACAAGAAATCGTCTGGAGTTACTTCAGTGGATTCCGTTTTGTGAACTGAAATAACATAATATAATTCAGTTAATCTATATAAACACATATAAAAGTTGATGTCTGTGTGTTTTCTATCGACTGCATCGAAGGCGATGAAATTTTCAGATAGGCCTAACAGGTGAGTTTGGTAGAGATCGTCAAAAACTGGCTAGCAAAGTGGGCCAATTTTGACTATACACAATGATTCGGCGTATTTAAAGACTTATTGCCAAAGAAATGTATCTAGTGTGTATCTAGACAACCCTTAGTTTGTTTAGAATTATATTAGTTCCGGCTAAAACATAGTATGTCAATTACTAGAATTTCCACTACACAGATATATCCATAAATAACGATCACCCGAATGCATCAGCCCTATGAAGAACGGCATTCGTTAATGAATCGAAAACAAACCTATCACCATGGTGGCTCCGATGGTTTCAAGCAACAAGAATATATCTGAAGAAAACGTTAGCTGCCTGTGTTTCACCATTAAATTCCCAGCGATAGTTCCAACCTGTAAAGACAATAATTTATTAATAATGGTCTTGTGCACGTAGATATCTATTGCCGCATTGGTCGGATTTCGTTTTCCAATAATTATTTTTTTGCTTCGATGGCTGGTCGAGTTCACGGACCATCTGCTGGTAAGTATAACGACTACTCCATCCTTCAAACCGTAACGCATTACTGCTTCCCGGCAGAAATAGGCAGGGTGGTAGTACATATCCGTGCGGGCTCACAAGACGCACTATCACCAATAAAAGAAATTGTGGTGGTATTAACGTGTTCTTCAAACGAGGCTTGTGGAGAGTATTAAGTTGTAGGCAGCGGCTTGGCCGCAAACATTTGGAAATGGGAAGGTGCTTGTAATCGTCCTTTTTGGCCTTGGATATAGAGAGTTTGTTTGTTGTTGTTAAGAAGTGAAAACTTCTTTGGTATCTTATCGATAAAACGTGATATGGCACTCAAAAACATTGCATCTATAGGATTTAGTTTATGCGCGTTCAGACTAGTCCTTTTTAATTTAATGCTCAAGTAGGTGCGCCCGCGGCCGACCGAGAGGGCTGGTGGTCGTGGCGCCGACGACCGCCAGTCCGGCGTCCCGAGGGGGAGGGTGATGGGAGAGATGTGCTCCGCACTAAACACTTCACTTTCCCCCCTTTGCCTTTTCATGAGTTCTGTCTCATGTGAGGTTTGGACGTTGGTTGTTGAGCGACAGGAGGTTTTAGTCGGTTCGACTCCGACATGCTCCGCCCGCCGTCCCCAGTGGAGGGCGGAAGTCCGGCGATTNAAAAAAAAAAAAAAAAAAAGGTGCGCCCGCGGCTTCGCCCGTAACAGAATACAATTTTATATTAAAACATAAAAGACATAAGACGATCGAGAAAGCTAAGTACGTAAATTTTAGGTGAACATACGTACATACATGCATTCTCTTTTATATATATATATATAAATATAACAGGTACATTGATCTTTTCATACATCAAGTTCTTTTATCTTATTTAAAATTGGTTCACCGCTTTTTTTTATTGCTTAGATGGGTGGACGAGCTCACAGCCTGATGTTAAGTGGTTGCTGGAGACCATATATCTACAACGTAAATGCGTCAACCACCTTGAGATATAAGTTCTAAGGTCTCAGTATAGTTACAACGGCTGCCCCACCCACCCTTCAAACCGAAACGCATTACTGCTTCACGGCAGAAATAGGCTAAATAGGAATCATCTTTTACAATTCAAGGTTTCATGAGCGGTAAACATATTGTTTCACCAGGCGGACGGCACTGATCGTCGTAACATAAACAGCCGGTCTGTCCGAAGTCCACCTGAAATGTCCTACCTTCATCCACGAGGTGCTCCACTAGTCTAGAGGGCTAATCGAGAAGTTTTTTTTTATTTTTTTTATTACCTGGATCTGTGGACGAGCTCACAGCCCACCTGGTGTTAAGTGGCTACTGGAACCCATAGACATCTACAACGTAAATGCGCCACACATCTTGAGATATAAGTTCTAAGGTCTCAGTTTAATTACAACGGCTGCCCCACCCTTCAAACCGAAACGCATTACTGCTTCACGGCAGAAATAGGCGGGGCGGTGGTACCTACCCGGACTGTGCGGACTCACAAGAGGTCCTACCACCAGTAAAGTACAACCTTGAAAGCTAAAAGCTAAAATATTCATAAAAATTAAAGTGTTATGAAACTTATTTAAATTGAACCTTACATTTCTAACTGGAATATGAGCAACAAGATCCAGATGCTCATAAAGCTTGATCAGATACGAGAACTCTTCGTTTTCGCGTGAAATGTTCTTGAACAACTCCATTAGGTCGGTCAGTGTCATGCCGGCTCCGACAACTAAATTCTGATCCGTGTAATATTCCCTTAGTGATTTTATTGGACTTATGTCTATTAGCACCTGCGGGTAAACCAGGATTGGTGCTGCTCCTAAAATCAACAGGGAGAAGACAAATGAGTTAATGCTTCTAATGCTTGCGTTAGAGAAAGACAGAAAATACTTTTTTGTTGTCGTGGCTTAAAGGATAAGAGGTCCGGTGCATTCGTATCTAGCGATCTAATGGTGTTTGAATACCGCAGGCGGGTACCAATTTTTCTAATGAAATAAGTACTTAGCAAATATTCACGATTAACATCTACGGCGAAGGAAAAACATTGTGTAATAAAAATCAAACCCGCAAAATTTTAATTTGCGTAATTACCGGTGGTAGGAACTCTTGTGAGTTCGCACGGGTACTTTCAATAATTATCTTTCTTTCTCTTTGGAAATGTTCCAATATAGCATCTACGTAAATTGTTTCTAAACTTAAGGATTGTCAACTCTTACCTAAACTCAAGGACACCGTTTAAAAACCAAAAAACATTCATGTTTACTATATTTACCTCTTCCAGTATTGCCATTTACTAGCATATAAGACTCGTAGCCTTCTTCATCCAGAACTTGAAATATTTCACTAATTTCATTAACTCTGTACCACGTATGGCCATCTTTGGTATGTATTTTCTTCATTTGATCATCATTTTTATCTATAACGCACCAGCTTCCATCAATCACATCACATTTGTCTTGACAGTTTTTTTTACAATTCTTTTTGCATGAAGATACATCTTCTATATCTAGTAATGGATGTGGTTTCGGGGCATCTTTGGCGAAGCTTTTAAAGGCATCCAAGATCGGTCGCGAGCCTGTGCATCTACAAGTGTTACTCCCAAACGAATTTTCTATCTCGTGTTGAGTAAGATCATAATGATTTGATTCCAACAAACTGAAATTTAAAGGTAATTTTAGTTTTGTAGCTTAAAGATACGATTCATGATATTCTGAATTCCCTAACCTGTACATGCTCATCACGAATCCAGGACTACAATATCCGCACTGAGTCCCGTTATACTCGGCCAGGGTTCTCTGGACGGGGTGATACCCCTTCCCCCTACCTCCGATGCCTTCGATTGTCGTCACCTCCCAGTCTTGGCATGACCTAACCAGTACTAAGCACTAAAACAAATAGTTCTTAAGAATTCAATGTTTTTGAAAATACCGATAATAATGGAGAGGAACCTATTAAGTATTGCAAAGAAAATATGTTTGCGAAAAAATTATAAATAATTGTGACGGTATTCGTCAACACAATTTAATATTAAAATAGGACAAGCGTCCGTGCCTCAATATTTTAAAGTCAAATTTGATGTCAAAACGAAATATAAAATCCAAACCACTCGGGGAAGAATGGAAAGAAGAATCATGGGCTTAAAACAAGGTGAAATGCACGGATATCCGCCAGAAAACGAAAATAGCATATGCTTTAACATTCTCGCTACACAGGAAATGGAAATGGGCAGACCATCAGAATTCAGTGGGCTGTATCCGTGGGTTAATTTACTCGTCGAGCTCTTCGTCGCAAGCGACGGGTTCGACGAGAACGATGACAGGTGTTTGAGGTACCTAAAAGCACCGTTAGTGGATCGGGAGGATCCGGAATGACGTGTGACTGAACACCATCAAAGATAGAAAGAAGTGGTGCACTTAAGAGGAGGCTTTTATGCGAAGGGGTCCGTACAGAAATAAATAATAATCAATAATAAACTAATATAAGAAACCAATTTTTAACCAATCAATGTATGTTCAAATTATGTTTCTTTATTGCATGTTAAATTCTAATTAAGTTGTCAGTTGATTATCAATTATTCTCATTATTAACATAAACCAAACGGCAAATAACTTTGTAGCTGGCGTATCGTGAACTCGCGCCACATATACTCACTCATGTTTATTTTGCTGCGAATTATATTATGCCTATGCCTGTTGTAGAGCGTGACGTGAGCGTGATATACGATGCGAATGAGATATCGAATTCATGTTTCAAAATGGATGACGGCATTTTGCTATATCAAACGTGTCCAGTAATCAGTGTGGGTCGTTAGAGGTTGAATTATACACGACTATTGTTGCTAGTTTCTTCTTCTTTTTCTTGCCCTTATCCCGTTGTGTTGGAAGCATGTCCCAACGAATTATGCGAATTATATTATGCCTATGCCTATTGTAGAGCGTGACGTGAGCGTGATATACGATGCGAATGAGATATCGAATTCATGTTTCAAAATGGATGACGGCATTTTGCTATATCAAACGTGTCCAGTAATCAGTGTGGGTCGTTAGAGGTTGAATTATACACGACTATTGTTGCTAGTTTCTTCTTCTTTTTCTTGCCCTTATCCCGTTGTGTTGGAAGCATGTCCCTTTTTTCTCCCACCCACCATTTCTCGCATAACCTCTTTCTGTACGATGCGAATGAGATTTCGAATTCATGTCTCAAAATGGATGACGGTATTTTTCTATATCAAACGTGTCCAGTAATCAGTGTGGGTCGTTAGAGGTTGAATTATACACGACTATTGTTGCTAGTTTCTTCTTATTTTTCTTGCCCTTATCCCGTTGTGTTGGAAGCATATGCCTTTTTTCTCCCACCCACCATTTCTCGCATAGCCTCTTTCACATTCAAGTGCTTTAGAACGTCCATGCTGCTGTCGCTAGGCTCAACAGTCGTTATTAATTTAAGGAACGTTATTAGGTACATTAACGTTATTGTACTTATTGGGCCACGCTAACACAGAATTTCGTAACAATTGCTTTAAAACGTTTTCACTTCGCTGTACAATAATCAGTGACTGTTGATTTGATAATTACTTTAATCACACGATGTGGTGGTAATTTTTTTTTGCTAAATAACTGTTGTATGCTCAAATTACTACTTATTGATACAAATTGTTAGACAATCCCGGTTTCCAAAAGCGGTTACCGGAGTACCTGCAGATATATCATATCTGCTGTCACCAACCTTCGAGTTATTGGGAATAATCTACTGCGGAACGAACTGAAGAACTCGCCTTGTGATGGCGACAGGATGGTGCATTCGGGACAAAGAGGAGACGCTTCGTGTTAAAAAGGTAATTTTGCCTATTAAGACCTATTTTACTGGATCATCTACTAATGGTCTCCTTAGAGTAAAATACTCATAGTGCTAGTACCGAGATCAAGAATAGATTACCGAGTTAACGGAGAATTTCATCTTTTTGCCGTTTCGGTCAGCGGTGACCGCCACAACACAAGATCCGCAGCCTCCTTCTTTGCACATGTACTTCGTTCCCCGCAAGTCGAGGTGGTTCCTGATGTAATCGTTCAAGGATGTGTCGGCCTCTATTTCTGGTCCAACTGAGAAACAAAAGTAGTCATCGCAGCCGGCAGCCAATGTTAAATAAATGTTTTGGGTGTTTTAAATACCGCTAAAAAACCATTAACGTATTTACTTACTGGTGGTAGGACCTCTTGTGAGTCCGCACGGGTAGGTACCACCACTCTACTTATAGCAGTAATGCGTTTTGGTTTTAAGGGTGGAGCAGCCGTTGTAACCATACTGAGACCTCACAAATTATATCTTAAGGTGGGTGGCGCTTTTATGTTGTAGATGTCTATGGGCTCCAGCAACCACTTAACACCAGGTGGGCTGTGAGCTCGTCCACCTAACTAAACAATAAAAAAATAAAAATATAATTTTTTATCCAGAATTATTTTCGAATCTCTGAATAATTATTTCTAGAAGCGTCCTCGAATTGCGAGTATTATTTCAAGCATTATCAAAGTACAGGTCTTAAAGCAAGCTTATAGCTGCAGTATAAGCAGAATGATAGAACCTTTTTAAATCAATGAATATGTGAGTGAAGAACCTCACGGTTTTCACCGGTATGTTGTAACATAAATACCCCCACTCAACCTGTACACCGGCTACCCCATCCTTAAAACTGGTACATACATATATACTTCGTGACCCATATAACCAATGAATATGGTGGGCAAGGCCATTGAAATAAAATTTAGAAAGAAAATTGTAGGCGCTTGTCATCCTTAAGATGAAAACCCAAGTCAGATAAACTACCCGACCTTAAGATACTGTTAGTTAGTTCTGTGTGAAATGAAACGTAGAAGTAATTTTATAGAAAAATAAACAGTCAGCATCCAAATTTCGACGAATTACACCTTTTGTCATCCGTGACCACGAAAACTGTAAAGTATTTGAAACATCGGAAATAACGCAATAGCAATAGAGAAAGCGAGATTAAACCGTAAAAAGAGTTTTAATTTTATATAAATTTTAATTGAATACAGTCAAATCACGTAGACAAAGGCACAATTTTCTATAAACATCCAATCGAGGGACCCCATATCCCCAAATGGATATTGAGCATTCAGAAATGTTTAGTAAAATTTCAGATTATTAAAACGCTTTGAGTTAAGCCGAAAAAGGGGTTGTGTATGATAATCTATTAAAGAATTAAAACTATCCAAAATTCAAGATAATCTTTGTGCAACTCAACCCGCCACTAAAATATCTGAACACTTATCTCTTACCAGAACATTTGAGTCCGTTAACGCTAAATGTGATTCGATCCATATTTTAGGAGTTTCACGTTGCAGTTGCTTTACAAGCAGCGAGCAACTGTGTATCAGTCCGTACAAAGTGATTTCGTAAAGATATGCCTAATTAAACCGTTTAAATCATGTTTCAGCATTACGCACGCGATAGATACGTGTGCGAATATTCTATGTAAACATTATTTTTCAAAGTACATGATTTTTACCAGAGGTAGGTAGGATGCAATGGTCAAGATGCAAAGTGGAACGATACTAAATATCCCAGAAAGATATCAAGGTTTGGGCCTTATGAAGATTGTCCTCAACATCCAGGAATGGAGTGGCACTTGAAAAAAGTGTGAGTGTTATAAAAATCCTATACGTTCTATGTCGCAAGCTTCGTAATCATGTCACAAATATAGTTAGTATTATAATAGTAGTTTCACAGTTTCAACAGTTCAATGTTGTTAATTGAATCTTAATTAAATTTACTCTATTCAATTAGCTGAAGAAGTTATTTTGTAAGGATATTTTTTTCAAAAATTTCAACTTTAAATGGCTGTCCTGTAAAGTTGCAAAAAATTAGCTTAAACCAATTAGCCTTTCACCCCTCGATAAATATTATTTACTAGCTGAGTCTAGTTGAAGCTAGTCTAAAAAAGTAGCCTAAGTTACTGCTTATATCATTAGCTACCTATCAATGAAATTCTCGTCAAAATCCGCCCAGCCGTTCCGGAGATTAGCCGGAACAAACAGAAAGACAGAGAAACAGACAAAGAGACAGGCAAAAATTGTAAAAAATGTTATTTTAGTGTATGTACCGTATATATATTCATATTGTGCATGTAGTAAAAAGCGGTTATTTCACAACAGACACTCCAATTTTATTTATTTGTATAGAAAAGCAAACTACGAGTATAAATAAGAAATATGTTTACGTCACAGCATGTCTATTTATTCGTAACACTGCTGTTTAGTATATGAATTGTATTTAACGAACGAACCTGAAAGTTGCTACATTTAATTGTTTCTAAGGCCTTCTGAAAAAAAAACCAAACATTTACGTTTGAGAAATTGTTCTAATGTTGATGGTTCTGTATAAGAATTTCCCGCGAATTATTTTATGTCGTTGAAAAATCAAAGATGTATGCTATCATTTGGTGTCCAGGACCGTTCCTAATGCCATAAGACACGTTAATGGGAAATGCCAAAGCCAAGCTGCTATTTACTGCTAGAAGCGTTTCTATATGGTACTTTTTTTTATTGCATAAATGTGTGGACGAGCTCACAGCCCACCTGTTAAGTGGTTGCTGGAGCCCATAGATATTTACAACGTAAATGCGCCACCCTCCTCGAAATATAAGTTCTAAGGTCTCAAATATAGTTACAACGGCTGCCTCGCCCTTCAAACCGAGACACATTACTGCTTCACGGCAGAAATACGCAGAGTGGTGGTACCTACCCGCGCGGACTCACAAGAGGTCCTACCACCAGTAGACCACATTTACAGAACTTAACCACCCCACAGTCTTTTAAATATAGATTACGTTTCAGCCGCGTTCCCCAACCCAAAACTGGCACGATGGTCCTCACAGCGAAGACTGTGTGCTGATGGCACGAGGGCAAGCCTAGCGATACTTTCCTGACATTTGGCGATTTTAAAATAAAATGATTCAACATCGTTCATCAAATCTAATTACTCGTGGAACCTTTAAAACAGTCATTATTCATTCCTAGCTGAAACCTTTTAACCCAAAAAAAAAGGTAGGTGGAAAAAAGGTGGTAGGAGCCAGGGGCTCAAACAGTATCGGCATATTCACAACGGCTGTCTTGCTTGCTAGGTCACAGAAACATAAATACGCAAGGATTGTTTGATACATTACTGAACCCTATTTAGTGTTACTAATAATTCAGATCTGAACAAGTTGTTGCGGAGTTGTGTAAATAATTCCTGCCTAGAGTAGAAATAAAATACATACTGCTATTGTAACTTCTTCGATTTTTATGAGTAGGACAAATATTTGGAAGTCTTTTTACGACTTAATTTCGCGTTTAACAATCGGACGTTTGAAAATGGTTTACAGTTTTCGCGGTCAACTACGACTGACGTTATTATTCGTCTGCATTTGAATATTGTTTTAACTACTTCTGTCAAAATTGTATAAAAAATAATTAGTAACAATTGCGTTTGCCCATAAACACAGCCCACTGAGTATCTCGCCGGATCTTCTCAGTGGGTCGCGTTTCCGATCCGGTGGTAGATTCTGCGAAGCACCGTTCTTGCTAGGGTCAGTGTTAGCAACACTCCGGTTTGAGCCCCGTGAGCTCACGTACATGTTAGAGCGAAGCTGAAATAGCCTCTCTAGACTATCAGCATAGGTCGGAAAAAAAATTCGATCCGAAACGATCACACAAATGTTGTTAATATTTAAATTATTGGCTTAAAAAGATAACATAAGGCGGTTTCTTCAAACACTAATATCTGTTAGCTAGCTCTCTTAGAAAAAGTTCGATTGCATTGTATACTTAGATTACTTATATACTTATAGTGCCGGCCTCAGCCTTGGGTCCTAAATATTCACGAAAACAAAAGAAATCTTTATAGTATTCCAATTTTAGAATGGCTAAAAAGCCCCAGTGATGCTTGTATGGGCTGTGGAGACTTCTAAAGACTGGGCTCACTGTTTACCTCAGTGCTTTCAACGTGTGCAATGATTTTCTAAATAGCGAAAGGAATTTTCTTGAAAAAATAATAAATGAACTAGTAGTTGCCTTTGTAATATTAATAGGATTTTACTCTTGTACTTATGGAAGGAAAAATTTATTACTTGAACATATCCACACATATGTGCATGATTACACTTCTATACCACTATGTATATTCATACTGTGACACAAAGTAAACTAAAAAAAATAGAACAAAAACAATCATGCCATAACTATTAAATTATTTCTCACTTGTTTAACAAACTATGTTCCTAAATCATAACCTTTTTTTTATGAATGAACGGTTACTGGTGGCCCAGAGGCTTTTCCTGTTTCCACCAGGATATAAATCGTAGCCCTCTAGATCAAAGAGCACGCGGGTGGGCCACTATCCTGTCTTATTCTGCAAAGCAATCATGCTTTTTGTTAGAAGAGTAGGATAATCGTCACAAGAAGGCAATCGGAACATCAATTTTAATTCTCGAATACAGTGTTCATGGTTTAAATATTACAGCAGTGGTCTGCCTCTTCGATTTGTTTCTGACATTACAAATGTCCACGAGCAACGGTAATCGCATATCATCGGTAGGCCACACGGTCAACGAAAAACCCGCTTAACATCAGATGATTCGTGAACACATCTGTACGTTACTAAAAATATTAACATTGCAAAATCCTATGACTTATTAACAGATTCCGTAGAATTAACATTATTAATGTGCAATCAAACAATCTAACCGGTAATCGATTGGACGATTAATTAATAAATATGAAGCGCTTCAGCGATGTCGGTCTCCGCGTCGCCGGCACAAGGCCACGGTCGCCCATCAGCAGCTAGTAGTCAGACGGATGCAGGAAACGCTAGTCCAACGCGGAGCGCCGAGCGAAATACGCTTGTCCTAAACTAAACAGATATTGTCATAGACTAGATAGGAAACCGTACACCGAAATAAAATAAAAATGACACAATCATTATATTTTTTATCTGTGGAGATTTATTTTGCCGCGTAAACTAGTGCAGTACGAAGCTAAAAATAAAATTGTATTTCAAGATACATACGCGGATGTGACATTTCGTTTATTTTTCTATGTGCGTGATTATATAAAAACAGTTTTACAGTTTTATACTATACGTTGTACATACACCTATCAATTTATTTTGTTATTTAGTTAAACGAATGCTTTCATGTGAATAGAACATTGACCGAATTACTGAGCAAGATGAACGAATGAATTACATGAAATTAGAGATATTTGTGTACACATTTCAATTCGGAACGTGTAACTATTTATGACAATATTTTTTTTAATGGGCCTTATTTATCGAACTACAAGTGTTATGTTTTACCGGAAAATGACATAGCTGATGTAATTGTGCTTGTGCTCGTTTTAAAACAAACTTTTTTTTTTAATTATAATTAAGCACGGATTTTTGTTATAAATGACAAGGTGAGTTAATTTTTTATATAGATTAAGACACCCGTTACATCGGCACGCTGATTTCTCGTCGGATCTTCCTAGAATTATCGCGACTTCGATCAGATAATAGACGGACTAGTGGTTGGGCAGTAGTCAACAAACCCACTAATACCATTCATATCCCACCCACCATTCATATTGAAATAAGTAACATCTAAAGTATGCAATATCTTGCGATGTAAATGTTTGTGTTGATTACGTTAAATACATTGTTTATCGAGAATGTAACGGTAATGTAAAATAGTGACGTATGGATAAAATAGTCTCATAATTCAGCAAAAGAAACAGAGCGGCAAAAACTTCGGATAAAAAGGATAAAAAAACGAGACAAATTAAGCATAAACTACTGCAAACAAAAAGTTTTTTTTTATTTTTTTTTGTTTGAGGGATTACTCCGTGGCCTGGGGGCATTTCCCGGAGTTTCACCAGGACATGTGGGCGAGCAAGGGCTCAGCCAGGAGAGGTGGGATTTGCTAACAGCTAGGACAACGACGAGTCGACGGTGACTGGCTCCTGCGTGATAATGATCAGATGAAATAGGCTACGAGGTCTATAAAAATTGGTCGTTAATAAATAAAATGAAATGAATGTATTACCGTTCTGAGTCAAGCTTTTTCATGGTCTCTGACTACTTTTTTTCTGATGTCATAGATAGAGAAACCATCTCACGACGCACCTAGTTTTAAGTGGCTACCAGAGCCCATAGGCATCATCGTGCCAATAAAATTGAAACTGTGCAATTTGTCAATTGTAGACGGCTATCAGTCTAACCGACTCTAACTCATTAAACCAACAGAAATATTAGTATTGTGGTATATAAATTTAGAATAACTATATTTAACATATCTCAGCGCTATCCACCGAAAATTAACCCACAGACACAGCCCACTGAGTTTCTCGCAGGATCTTCTCAGTGGGTCGCGATTCCGATCCGGTAGTAGACTTTGTGAAGCACCGCTCTTGCTAGGGCTAGTGTTAGCAAATTCTTTCAGGTTGAGCCCGTGAGCTCACCTACCCATCCGGCCGTAGCTGGAATGGCTCCTTAGACTATCTAATAGGTAGGAAAAAAATGTGATTGCCGTCATTTCGGTCGGCAAAGCGCAGTGGACTCCTCACACAAATTCCACAAGCGGGGTAGGGTAGGTAGGGGGTCACACGCAACAAACTTCCGATTACTTGTCAGAAATTACATGACCACAAACCATATTCTCCCATCAGCTATCGATTCTTCCGAATCGAATCACATCGATAATATCGATTTCTCTAGGACCTTGTTTTTGTTATTTAATTGTCCGCGTCCATGAACTTTATTGAACAATTATCATCACATCGTAGAGTCTAGTAGCTATTTGTTCGTTTATAACTTCGAGAAACGATTTATAAGATAGTTATGACTGTGGATCTTGCGTATTTAGGTCGCGAACCAGCGGCGCGTTCCATTACGAATGGTTTACCCTCACACGCGTCTCTACATATAAATATATCTGCATATCTATATATTAATACGTGAAGCAAAAACTTTGTATCCCTTTTTACGAAAATTGCGCGGACGGAGGAGTATGAAATTTTCCACACTTACAGAGAATATAGAGAAAAAGTGCAAAATGCTAATATTTTTTTAAAATAATGCATAAAAGATACATTAAATCAATAAAGAAAAAATTACACACACTACCTGCCATGTATTTGACGCACACACGCATGCGTACTATTTATTGTCAAACTTTTGTTCTTGACGTCTGTTGTCAAATTGAGATTAAATATTGTTTGCCTTTGTTAATATTTTTTATAGTGTAGTCTTGGCGAAATTTATGATTATAGAAGTATAAAATACAATCATGATAGTGTACAAACTTACAATTCCAATTAATTATAGTCGAATTTCGACTACTGCGGGACCTCTAGTATATATAAATAGAAGAAGATATGTAACAGTTTAGGCAATTTTTTTCGCATGTGTTTGTTTTTTAACTAAAACTGCTTTTTGTTAATCACTCAGTAGTGATTGACAAGCTTTAGTTAGTATTTAAAAAATATATAATCATGGAAATTTTCCGGTTTTTTTCTTAGTGCCAGAAAGAAAATGTAATACGTAGAATAATTAGTACGTTAATACGTACAGTACAAGTTTCAATATCGAGGCGTCAGTGATTATAGGATCGTGTTCAAATTTGGGGCCAAAAGCAAGTTATTTGATTTAATTCTCATAACCTTAATGTTACCGTAATTATAAGTACAGTAAATTCGTTGTCATGTCAACAGGCACGTGGTCCTACAACTATATATCCGTAAACACTGCTAAATTAGGAGTTATACATTAAAAACTACTAGAAATTCAAATTCTAAAATGTTGGCTATTTTTTTCAGTAATGCGTGTTGAAATTCGGCAGTTTTATTTAATCAGTATATAATACAATAATAAAGCAAAACTAACTAGATATTTGAACATTATAAAAAACCAAAGAAGTAAGATTTCTAAACTTTTAAAAAAAAGTTCCTGTTTAAATTGTCATCTGTGTTGGCGTTATCAAATGCGTAAAATTAAAAATATAAATGAATATTACATATTATATATAAATACAAAAAAATGGTAAATTAGAGAAAGCTTAAATTCATGAAATCGTTAATTTTTTGGTGCAAAATTGAAAACGACCCTAAAGTCATTTTTTTATCGTAGGGCGTTAACACTACTAGCGTTAAAACACGTGTTAGCATCTTATTTAGTTACAGAAAAATATTAATGTAAGTTCAGCACAATGAATAGTAACATTGTATCTGATATACGAGTAACTTCCGCGAAACTCAATTGCATTGTTGTTACGTTTTGCATTGAAGCAAGGAAACGTCGGACGTATTGTGGATTTTACACGAAATATATTTGTATCAGCTAAACAGTTACATTGTGTACTGACTCATATAAAAAAAATTGCATCAACTAAACTTTTATATTGNGTAAGTTCAGCACAATGAATAGTAACATTGTATCTGATATACGAGTAACTTCCGCGAAACTCAATTGCATTGTTGTTACGTTTTGCATTGAAGCAAGGAAACGTCGGACGTATTGTGGATTTTACACGAAATATATTTGTATCAGCTAAACAGTTACATTGTGTACTGACTCATATAAAAAAAATTGCATCAACTAAACTTTTATATTGCGTGTTGATGCAATTAAAAACTAAATAATATAAACCTAAATTGTACTGTTAAAAGACCTTAGAATTAAACTCATGTCTCAAGATAGGTGGCGGCATTTACAATACAGATGTCTATAGTCTCCGGTAACCACTTAGCACCAGGTGGGCCGTGAGCTCGTCCACCCATCTGGGCAATAAAAAACTAAATACAAAGATGAAAATCTTTACGCTGGTAAATTTGACTGAATCAACACACTTGATTTGTTTTTCTGCATTAGTTGCAATATCTTAAAACAGTTTTCAAAATTGTAAGACGCTTGAAAATTTTCAGACTTACCAAGGTCTGATGGCATTACAATAATTTTGTTTCCCGGCCATAATGACCACAATAAAAAAAAACTTACTTAAATGTTTAGTCAGGCTTGCTTTACTTCTTTCACGATTTATTTTTCGTTTATACAATACAAACATATACAAACTTACATAATAATAGAATTCTTCTTAGATCTTTTTTTATTGCTTAGTTGGGTGGACGAGCTCACAGCCCACCTGGTGTTAAGTGGTTACTGGAGCCCATAGACATCTACAACGCAAATGCGCCACCCACCTTGAAGTATAAGTTCTAAGGTCTCAGTATAGTTACATACTGCTTCACGGCGCAAATAGGCAGGGTGGTGGTACCTACCCGTGCGGACTCACAAGAGGTCCTACCACCAGTGTAAGATTCATGCGAACATTCCTGATAGCTCCTGATAGCCAGATAAATATTTTAAATAAATTCTCCTACGTAATACCTACTTCTATAAAACTAATAATGATAATACAAATTCGCATGCTCTCTTCAAGCTTAATACTTATTTTTAATCATTCAACACGAACGAGAATACGCGTAACAAGAAGCGAATGACAAAGAAATTCAGGAGAAAAGTTCTGAAATGGCACAGAGTCCGTCTGATGACGTCACCGCCTCGTCTCACAATTGAAGACATGAGTGGATGAAGTGAATATGATACAATTTGTTAATTTTGAGAAAACGGGAAACAAATGTTTGTCACTTGTACTTTTTCTTCATACATAGCTCCATCATAACATGCAATTTCTAAAAATGGTTTTTAAGCCTGAAGTTTTAAGGTCTAATGTGGCTTATAGGCACATAGCACCCTCATTCAATGTAAAAACTAAAATGGTACTTAACCCCTGACTGGAGTTGTTGTAGCCTAAGGGATAAGACGTCCGGTGCATTCGTGTTGAGCGATGCACCGGGGTTCGAATTCCAGGCGAGTACCAATTTTTCTAATGAAATACGTACTTCACAAATGTTCTCGATTGACTTTCACGGTGAAGGAATAACATCGTGTAATAAAAATCAAACCCGCAAATTTTAATTTACGTAATTACTGGTGGTAGGACCTCTTGTGAGTCCGCGCAGGTGGTACCACCACCCCGCCTATTTCTGCCGTGAAGCAGTAATGCGTTTCGATTTGAAGGGTGGGGCAGCCGTTGTAACTATACATGAGACCTAGAATTTATATCTCAAGGTGGGTGGCGCATTTACGTCGTAGATGTCTATGGACTCCAGTAACCACTTAACACCAGGTGGGCTGTGAGCTCATCCACCCACCTAAGCAATAACTAAAAATAAAAAACCCCTTCATCCACTCATGTCTTCAATTATTGTGCTGCTGATAAGTCTAATAAAATGAGCATCCAACGTCACATTTATCGAATTGAGTCGTGACGAAGCGCTCTGTCTAATTCCGTCGAGTGTATGGGCGTGGGACAAACGGGACATCAACATCGTTGACAGCACGAAGCTTGCGGGTTTGTCTTTAGATTTAAAAAAAATCTTAAACGAACAATTTTAATAATTATTATTATATTACATTGTGTATTTGTAAGATTTTTTTTTTAAAACCATAATATTTTGTTAGTAAGAATTACTTATATTATAATCTATGTTAGTATATGTATGCATGTGTGTATGTGACAGCCGATGACAAAAAATCTAAGACATGCAGTATTAAAAAAAAAAATGTATTGGTAACATAGAGAACACACTTTTTGTATGTACCATATCAGACTTCATAGGAATGATCGGGGCGGATATTCCTTTTAAGCATTTTTTATCAGTCATTAATTTCATGATGGCTATGAAATCTTCCATCGAGGTATCCTTATATACACTGCGCTGTCTTTAGCTCATTTAACTCTTTGACTTCAACTGTCGAATTGAGTTCTTTAAAATCTCAAGCTCTATTAAGTGCTTGTTTTCACTCTTTAGCCTTGGTTGCTGTCGGCCAGTGTTGTTAAGTGCCAATTCAGAAGCTATTGAAAAATTCAGAGTCCAGAGTCCAAAGAAACTCTGCATATACATATATTATACCTTTAGTAACAAGGAAGGCTAGTCAGTGCTCATTACTTTTCTTTTTTTTATTGCTTAGCTGCGTGGACGAGCTCACGGCCCACCTGGTGTTGCGTGGTTACTGGAGCCCACAAATATCTACAACGTAGACGCGCCACCCACCTTGAGATACAAGTTCTAAAGCCTCACTATAGTTACAACGGCTGCTCCACCCTTCAAACCGAAACGCATTACTGCTTCACGGCAGAAATAGGCGGGGCGTACCTAACCGTGCGGACTCACAAGTGGTCCTACCACCAGTAATTACTGCATAGTTGCGCGCTTAATTTTTTAAGCGTATTAAAACCTTAAACCCTTTGCATAATGCTTTAAGCCTTTTGTTTAGAAGGGCATGTGTTTCAATCATAATTTGTAACTAGCACCGTCTATGGGTTTTTAACTCAGAATCTATTTTGAAAATATTATTCATATATTTACGAAGTTAGAGCAAGTACATCCAGACCTTTTGATGCAGTAGAAACACTACACCAATACAACTATAAAATATGAATACTTTTAAAACACGTATAACTTCTCATTCGTATCCAACCTTTTTTTTTTTGTAAATGATACACGCGATTCTGTTCCCATCGAGGTTAAACAGATGTCAAGCAAATCTAAGCTTAAACTGTACGATTTTAATAAACATTCTTGCATATTCCTCGAAACGTGACTCATAGAATATAAAATTTTAGTGGACCGTATGTTATCATCAAAACAAGGCTACTAAAAGACCCACTTTGTGAAATATAAATAGGATTGCTTCAAGAGAACACCACGCTCTAAAACTTAGAATAACACACAAAGAGAGACCCCAACGGTGATAGTTTAAATAAAGAACTAATAAGCATTATTAAATAAAATTAATTCTTCTTCATTTAGATATAATTAAATATGAGTAAGTAGCATTAAAAACCACATCAATTGCACAATACCCTATTTACCGCGAGCCAAAAAAGTACACAAAAGTCAACTGAAAATGAAACACCGATTCGCGTGGTGAGTCTGTTCTAAGCTCAAAAAACCAATAGCACTATTCTATCCATTTCTACAAAAAAAAAAGTATAGAAATATATACCCGTATAGATACCGAAGTAATCTGATAATAATAGGTATATTTAATACGTGAAGCAAAAACTTTGTATCCTTTTTTATGTAAATTGCGCGACAGAGGAATCTGAAATTTCCCACACTTATAAAGAATATAGATAAGAAGTGCAGAATGCTAATTATTTTTTTAAATTATGCATTAAAAATACGTTAAATCAATAAAAAAACATTACATACACTACCATGTATTTGATACACACAAGCATAAAATAATATACTCTTTTGTTTATTGTTAAACTTCTGTCATTGTGTAAGTCTGTAGTCAAATTGAGAATAGATTAATATTGTTCTGTCTTTATATTATTTGTCTATAGTGTAGTTGTGGCGAAATCTGTGATAAGTATGTATAATATGACAATAGAACCTTATTAATGTTCAAACTTATAATTTCAATTAATTATAGTTGAATTTCGACTACTGGGGAACCATCGGTAACAATAAAATGATATATTTTGTAATCACCTGAAACCAGCGTTTATCTGGATGTATACATGCGTTTGTATTGAAGCGAACAAAGTTGTTAAATTTATTACAAAGCCCTGTAATAAAATGTCATTAATTTATTAGAGAAATAATTGAAATCGGCTAATAAATTCTGAAACATTCGATTCGGCAATTTAATAATAAAGTAATCTCGCACTGATAATTAGGAAAAATTTAAACAGTTGATGATGTTACCTAAAATTAATTTTAAATTCCAGCAAGGTCATGCCTCTGCCGTTGCTAAGGAGGTGCTGTGGATGCCTCCCCCTTGAAGCCGGCTGCTTCATACTCTGCATAGCATCTACTGTGAGTGAACAATAAACAATTATCGTCAGACGTCCATTGTTTAACGGCCGTCTGGTGTAGTGGTAAGTGACATGGTCACTACACAAGGGGATCGCGGGTTCGAATCCCGCCCAGGGAAGATATTTGTATGATAAATATAAATGTCTTTTCCAGGGTTATGGATGTATATTAAATATATGTATGTGTATAATAAAAATCTTACATTTATATCCGTTATCTGGTACTTGTAACACAAGTTCTTTACGAACTTATCACGGGACCAGTTAACGTGGCGTGATTGTTAGTAAATATTTATTATTTATTGTTAAGCCTCCTTAAAGTTCATAAAATGATCAGCCCTGAACTGCCAGCATCCAACGTCGGTGATTATGGAAAGCCAATGCACGCTGCGTCTTTCACACATCAACATGGTAAATTAACAGGTCACCATCCCTGTCGAACTCGTCGATTACGACGAGCGAACTAACCCATAGACACAGCGCACTGAGTTTCTCGCCGGATCTTCTCAGTGGGTCGCGATTCCGATCCGGTGGTAGATTCTGCGAAGCACTGCTCTTGCTAGGGCTAGTGTTAGCAAATTTCCTCAGGTTGAGCCCATAAGCTCAGGTACCCCTCCAGGCGTAGCTTGAATAGCCCCTTAGGTTACCAGCGAATAGGTAGAGAATTTTTTTTCGTAAATGCAGCCAACCACCTTGAGACAGGAGTTCTAAGTCTAGTTGTAGTACAACGGCTAACAGTACACATGCAATTGGCAAATTCCCTGAATGATTGAATCCTTGTACTATTTTACAAACTCACTAATTCTTTTCCCGATTTTTGGTTCTCGAACTAATTGTTCCCGAACGTGAAAGATTGCTAGAGAAACTCCCGGGTTCGTGCGAATACATCGGTAATAACTATGTTAAAAGCTCAATAAAAACCGAACGATATAATAAACATTGGTAATAAATTTATACGCACTACAATAGGAATACGTGACCGCACATTTAACGCGCTGTTTATGCCTTCAGAACAATAAAGATGATTGATTCTTTTTAATATTCATAGATATATTCTGTAAGATAAGATAAATGAATAGACTCGAGCAAGTCTGCAAGATGAGACAAGAGAATTTCAATATAGTCTGTTGGTTTATAACCTTGGTAGCGCCAACAACAGCAAATATTTTCTTGGTAGTGTAGGTCAGCCATCTCACTGTCCAACTGATGCTAGAAACGACCGTAGGCCAAGGACATTATAGTATAAATGCCACTGCCCCTAATTGTGACATAAGATTAAAGACCCAATGGGGTTCTTTCTTTATATATTTTTTATTTCTGTATTATTATTAATTTATTAAATGTGTGTGGATCAGCTCACAGCCCACCTGCTATTACGTAGTTCCAGGAGTCCATAGACATCTACAACGTAAATGCCGCCACCCACCTTGAGATGGCGCCCCACCCTTCAAACCGAAACGCATTACTGCTTCACGGCAGAAATAGGCAGGCTGGTAGTATCTACCCGTGCGGACTCACAAGAGGTCCTACCACCAGCGTATATCACTACGATATTTGAGCCCCGGCGAACATAGGCGAATTAATTGATATAAGTAGATGCTTTCCATCGTGACGAAGGATTATCCGGCTTTATTTTTTATATTTTGGGCTTCATGTGGGATATTTTCAGATGGCATGTGTAGCGAACATAGCTGCCGGTGCGTGGAATCTCCCGAGGCATAGAGACCGCGAACCAGAGGACAACCTTATATCCATGAGCATGATCATGTTCTCCTCATTATCAGCTATCGGGAATATCGTCGCTTTGTTCGGTATATGGCTAGTGAGTACCATGTATCCCTTCAATTTTATACTCTAATGTTTTTAATTGCAGAATAACGTCAGAATCAAACTTATAACCGCTGCGTTCACATGCAAAGATTTTTTTTTGTCAAGAGACGTGTGAAAACGAAATTCTAGTGTTATTCGAAAAGAGTCGTCATAGGTAGCTATGGTGCTAAGCAGTTTGTAGTGTGGATGAAGACACCACACAACCTTCTCATTATTTCGTTGCGCAGATTGAAAATTCAAATTGACAATAAATTTGGTAGTACTGTAAAAATTATTGGGCATCGTCTTAAAAACTTGCACAGTTAGGTAAAATTATCCCGCTTGTATCTGCTGGGAATCAGTCATGCGTACGGGTTTGTAGGGTGGGACAATCACTTCAAAAACTGGACAAAAACTTCATGTCTCAAAGCGGCAACAACATCTCTTGAGTTTCATTACCGATATACAGCAGTAAATAATCAAGTATCTTTACTCTTTCAATATTAAGTTGTAAACAGAACGAATATTTCGATTTTTCAGAAAAGGCCCGGAAACCTACAGTTGTCTTTAGTGTTCAACTCGATTTTCATCTTATGCATATTCTTGGTGTCAATAGTGACCTGTATCTTCAGGATGGATGAATTCCTCAAGCTACCCGGGAACATAGCTCTCGTAGTGGTAACGCTTATAGCTGGAGCAGGTATGTATTTTATACGCGTACCTTATTACAGTCTCAACACTAGGAACAACATGGCGGCGATGCAACATCCCGCCAAAAAAGTTAACCTTTATTACAAACTTGACTTTGTAAATTGCTATTGTTAGTAAATTTGAAATGGATACAATATTTTTGGCTTCGGGACTGTTTTTACAGCTTAATTACTGTCCATCATCACAAAGTGGAAGCCGTCATCCATTTTGAGACACGAGTCGAAAATTCAACTATACAATGTATCCGCTATATCATTCTTCGAAATCAAAGAATGACTACGACGATACGACGACTATAAACATATTTAAAAAAAAAATGTTCCGTTTCCTACATCAGAGTCCACGGAGGTAGATACCACTAGTCTCCTTATATATTTCCGTATAGTCTATAAAATTAAGACCGGTCACCGTCCCCGCCGAACCCGTCGCTTGCGACGAAGGGCTCAACGAGTAAATCAACCCATAGACACAGCCCACTGAGTTTCTCGCCGTATCTTCTCAGTGGGTCGCGTATCCGATCCGGTGGTAGATTCTGCGAAGCACTGCTCTTGCTAGGGCCAGTGTTAGCAACAAATCAAATCAAACACTCCCGGCTTAAGTCCCGAGAGCTCACCTACACGCTAGGGTAAAGCTGAAATAGCCTTTCAAGGCTTTAAGCTTAAGTAGGGAAAAATATAAGATCTAGTCTTAGATTATTGCACAATAATGGATAACGTTAATATCCTTTCTATTTCAGTTTATTCACTGTACTACTTGACCGTGGTCAATAGTTTGTATCGGACCATGAAAATGTCTTACAGCGAAAGCGCTCTGCCGATTTGAGAGAAAAATAAACCATCAATTGTTAATTGAAAATTTGTATTGGTTAATAAGCAACCGGACACAAATGTGGAAACAATCTAAAAACACTTATACAGGGTGTTGTTTAAAAAGGAACGCTCGCTCATTATTTTTGTATAATAATAATAATAATAAATGTTTGAAACCATAAAGAAAATATAATAAACTATCTTTTTTTTACTGCAACCTCATCGCTAATCGCAAATGATGTCGTGTGTGGTTGACCCTTGTCTGTGTAATAATGTGTTTAGCTCTTCGATTATTTTGGCTACGAATGACGTCATTCGCTGTGAAGTTGCGTTCAGGCGAGCTTTGTAAAATTTGCGTGGTGATTTGAAAAAAGAAGATCTCCTGTAGAGATGGTCTGTAACAGGTGAAATTCGAGAGTTCCATATGTTCCTGTTCCAGTGAAAGAACAGTCCCAACCTAGCCTGTTCCAAAATAACAGCCTGATCCAATATAACAGCCTGTTCCAAAAGGAGAAAAGAGCATGTCACAAACTCTTTGGGAACAGGATGTATATGCTATCTTTTTCTATTTCTGTACGTGAAAAGGGAAAAGAGCTTGTTTCAAACTGTTTTTTTCTGGCTTTTTGCTATGGAACGGAACAACGCAACATATGGAATATTGTGGAACAGTATTATTACATTGCGTATTCTAGTTTGTTAAAATGTAACAATATTGGGCTATTCGGGCAAAACGATGTTCTTCATTTAATTTACACCCGATTTTATACGGAACTCATTTTAATTACGTAATGTATACTTACTGCATTTAAAAATTCTTATGGGCGCTATCATCGTGACACGGCATTTCAGTTCTGGATGAAGGTAAGAAAATTAACAGTTTTTTATTGCTTAGACGGGCGGACGAGCTCACGGCCCGCCTAGTTTTAAGTGGTTACCGGAGCCCATAGACATCTACGACCGTGCCTCTCTATCACTTGTTCTGCGCTCTCGCTTGACGCTGAGGCTCAAGCGGAACGTGACACTTTTTCGTGCGTGCAGCCGGTGTTCATCAATTTATAAGATATCAAAAAAACGTAATAGATTAAAAATCACGAAGAATACGAACAGGATGTGACCTAAATTCGGTGTAATTATTAGTGTACGTATTGTTTTAAAGCTATAGTTTTCAGTGGCAACAGTTCAAATCGTGTTAGTGACTTCCTTAGAAGGTTGAAGATAACTCACAGATCAAAAGCAAACTGCGACATATTTAGATCACATAAATGACAAATGAACAAATAAATCTAATATTTATATGACTGTTGGACTCCCTACACTAGTAGCGAGGGCGTTAATGATGGGAATCTTTGTGGGGGTGAGAAATAATAATGTTAATTTTAAATGCCCAGCAGCTAGTATGAATATGAATAAATCTAAGCCTATTTATGTATGTTTGTCAGTCTCTGGTACCCATAGCACAGGGAATCCTAATTTGGGACCGGATAACCATGCGTGATTTGTTCCCAGTTATTTATTTATTATTACTTAAATCACTAAGCTAATCATGTCATCTTTAATGTACTAGCCAAAAGGAGTATGTTTGTACAGACCTAACGTTGACTTGTTACCTTGAATAAATAGTAATAAACGATTGATTTAATAAGAAATGCCATTATTTTAATTTAATAAGATATACCGTGTTTCAAACGGTTTCAAAAGTGCCTAAACATTAATAGTGCTTTAATATTTATTGTGCCTTGTCTTTGTTAATTTTATAAGTAGCTTGTTGAAGTAGCCCTAAGGGCCTGTGCACACCACGTTTTTTAAGAGCGCTTTTATCCCACAGAATGGTTTCTTGTCGTTTGTATCGATACAAACGTGATGCTAACGCGCGTTTGTATCGATACACATGCGCGTTAGCATCGCGTCTGTATCGATACAAACGCGTATTTGAATTTATACAGGTGTGCAAAGGTCTACAGGCTGCGTCTGACTTGCGTGTGTATCGCGTCTGTATCGCTACGAACGCGCGTCGACGGCACGTTTAAAAAACGTGGTGTGCACAGGCCCTAATGTATGTATCAGTATATGTATTTATCTATTTTATTAACATAAATAAACACTAGCTCGCCGACTGTGTTTCTGCGGATATTCTCAATTGTGTTTTTTTTAAGGGACAATAATAAAATATAAAATATAGTTTAAGTTGAAATAAATAATTTGTATCCGAATTGTGTAATTTTATTATTTTTGTATTTATTTCAATTGCTCGGCCACGACTCTGGCTTCTTCTATAGTTTCGGTTTCACGTCTAAGTGCTGCTGACAGCGGACACACACCTAGCATTGCTGACGTCCATGAGCTATTGTTATCACTCACCGGGTGGGTTGTAATGCTGATTCGACTGTGACGACGAAACAAATCATATAAAAAGTCAGCCGTTAAAAAGAGTTCACAACATTCAGTGGTTTATGTTCCAATAAATTATTACCAAATATTCTCTCTTTTTTTCTATATTATACTCTCTCTCTTTTTTACTGGTGCTAGGACCTCTTGGGGTCCGCACGGGTAGGTACCACCACCCCGCCTATTTGTGCCGTAAAGCAGTAATGCGTTTCGGTTTAGAGGGTGGGGCAGCCGTTGTAACTATACTGAGACCTTAGAACTTATATCTCAAGGCGGATGGCGCATTTACGTTGTAGATATCTATGGGCTCCGGTAACCACTTGACACCAGGTGGGCTGTGAGATCGTCCACCCATCTAAGCAATAAAAAAAAATCTCAATAAAAGATTAAAAGTCTCGAGAATAACGTATCCTTTTATTTTATTTTATTTTATATAACCTTAATGCATTTAACAAAGCGTTGTACAACATTCACAAACATTAATATTCTATGTAAAAAAATTAAATTCAATACACGATATAAATAAATAATAATATTTGAACGACAATTAAAGCGTTGTAATTGATCAATAGTTTTGCTTTTGTAAACGCCCGCCCATGGTCGTATAATAATGTCGAGCTAACGGTTTTTTTTTTTTATTGCTTAGATGGGTGGACGAGCTCACAGCCCACCTGGTGCTAAGTGGTTACTGGAGCCCATAGACATCCACAACGTAAATGCGCCACCCACCTTGAGATACAAGTTCTAAGGTCTCAAGTATAGTTACAACGGCTGCCCCACCCTCCAAACCGAAACGCATTACTGCTTCACGGCAGAAATAACGGCAGGGTGGTGGTACCCACCCGCGCGGATTCACAAGAAGTCCTACCACCAGTAATAAAACAAGAGGTCCTACCACCAGTAATAAAAAATTGTCAACGAAATGTGTTTCGGCCCGTCTCAGACTCTATTAAGTGTTTCTTAAGTACTTAACAATTTAACTCCCATGCAGGTCACCGGTGACCTACGCGGCGCACTGAAGTAATTGTGTCAATTTCTCTCTTCGATCTTCTTACTAAGGGGCCGAAATATCTAGGAGACTCTAGGAAAGACGAATTAACGGCCGTCTGGTGTAGTGGTAAGTGAAATGGTCACTAGACAAGGGGGTCGTGGGTTCGAATCCCGCCAAGGGAGGATATTTGTATGATAAATATAAATGTCTTTTCCAGGGTTATGGATGTATCTTAAATATATGATGTGTATAATAAAAATCTTACATTTATTTCCGTTATCTGGTACCTGTAACACAAGTTCTTTACGAACTTAGCACGGGACCAGTTAACGTGGCGTGATTGTTAGTTAAAAAAAAAAAACCGAAGTTACTGAGAATGAATCATATTGAATACATTGAATACATTGAATTGAATAAAAGAAGGCAAATTTAAGCAATCCATGGGCTTAGTAACAAATCGACATAATTACTTCAGTGCGTCAAAGGGTCAAAGAGNATGGTTAGTTAAAAAAAAAACCGAAGTTACTGAGAATGAATCATATTGAATACATTGAATACATTGAATTGAATAAAAGAAGGCAAATTTAAGCAATCCATGGGCTTAGTAACAAATCGACATAATTACTTCAGTGCGTCAAAGGGTCAAAGAGCTTATAGACATCAATCACCGCGTGTTGACAGCGAGATGAGTAAGAGAACTAACTATACTTGAGACCTTAGAACTTGTATCTCAAGGTGGGTGGCGTATTTACGTTGTGGATGTCTATGGGCTCCAGTAACCACTTAACACCAGGTGGGCTGTGAGTGCGTCCACCCATCAAAGCAATAAAAAAATAAAAAACAAGAAGCCCATATTAGATTATGCTTGAAATTTTCTTATTCGTCTCTTGAACTTGGCTTAATAATACATAAATAAATTTATTCCAACAATATCTTCCAATTTAATGATAAGTGTGTGTTCAAAGACAATTATAATTTAACTAGCTTAAATTTTTGTATTAAAATGTAAAAAATAAAATACAATTCCGCATTGCCATAAATGAGCGTTTACTCGCAAACAGCAGACACGTTTTCGGTCATATTGCAAAAACAAGGCAACAAAAAAAACATACACCCACATCCACACACACGTATTGTATGTACTATCCTGTGAACGGAAGTAAGAAACCACATCCATTCAAAGTTGCAAATCGTAAAAATAGTTTTAAAATACTTTTCATTAAAAGCGGAGTATGATTGGGCTGCTTTATTAAACCATTCATAAGAGTGTGATGAAATTACCTATGTTTCAAATGCACGTCCACTTTTTTTTTATATTGCCCCTTCACACACACACCCTTCAAACCGAAACGCATTACTGCTTCACGGCAGAAATAGGCAGGGTGGTGGTATCTACCCGTGCGAACTCACAAGAGGTCCTACCACCAGTAACGTGTAGCTTCAACAAACATTCGAGACATTTGGCAATAGTCATATCGGAATATGATCAGTTTTCCGTATGAATGTTCCGTATGAATACCATGAAACCATTCCGTCAAATTCCATTCCTTATCTTAGATCTATTCTCCGTTTTCATGTGTGTTTTTTGCAGGACTCCTTGTTTTTAGTAGATAAAAATTTACATACAACCTTCACTCGCAAAACGATTTGCAATATGACCGTTAATACTTTAGCTATTTAAAATCACTAACACCGACATTACATTATTTCGTTTCTTACAAAGGATACAGATAATTCTATAAATGTTAGTAAAAAATACAAGAAGACCCTTTATTTCATTTTAGTAGATATGTGAAAAAGAATACCTTGTTTTAAGGGCTTCTCATATTTTAGATTCCGAGGGACGAATAAACAGAATAATTCATTTTTCTCGGTTTTGGCGAGTCCTATATATTATTATAATTAAAATGAATTTTACGGTTTATATTTTTACGGTTTTACCACATGCTCGACCGTTACCACGACAACTGTAACTCAATTCGAAACATTCGAAAGTATATAATGAATATTTAAAAAAAACTAACTATATTAAACCACTCAGTTAACTGATCGAGTTTAGACCAATTTCATTTGTCTTCACGAGTTGATAATTAGTATAAAGAGTGTTCTTTTAATTTTTCAAATCCATTTCTCGCCCACATTGTCTAACGAGCAAGCAACCGAATCAATTATTTGGCCAATCTCAATTAAATTCTTAATAAAGATCGCGAGCAGAATATCCAAAATTGCTTGCATTAGAGAAACTGTCAAAGTCGGCTTTCGTAAGCAAAGATGACATTTAAGTCGATAATATCGTCAAATTTTGATAGTAAGGAACAAAAGCATCTGTCTATTTGCCCCTCCGAACTAGAGTACAGAAATTGGACACAGTATCTATGATCTAGTTAAAGCGAAGGACGTATTATTGTCGTATTGTAACATGTCATAATATATTTCAACTATAGTACTTTCTACACACCGAATATACGATAATATAGTGTAGGCATAGAATAGATGTTCTAATTTATACACGATACATTTTGAAGGGAATTTCGATTTGGTCTCTGACATTATGACAAACGAAATATTAATATACTTAATTTAAAGATATAAGCAATTAATCTAATTGATTATTGATTTCGTTCTTTCAATTAAAATATAATTTTATGTGAAAGTAAACAATTTAAATTTTAAGAACTTTTTTTGAGAAAATAGTTTATAATTATATAATTACATATATGGCATATTCTAGAATTACTGAATAATAATAAAAGACTTAATTGCGTTTTTTGTAAAATATTAAGAAAACAACATTTAAAGCCTTTAATCTCCTTTTTAAATTATTATTTTAAGCAGTATTATTGATTTATGTAAAACTGAACTCTTATGACAGACCCANTAAGCAGTATTATTGATTTATGTAAAACTGAACTCTTATGACAGACCCATGACAGACAGTGTCAGGTCAGTGAATCTGTCTAAGAAAAATCTTTTTTTAAAACAACAGATTTGTAAAAGTTTCTCTTAAGATTTTTCTCTACACTTATTTAAATGTAAATAATACATTCGACATTAAAATTGTACAAAAATAGGGTACACTTAAAAAAATTTTCACAACAAGTTGGCCGTTTAGTATTTGCAAGAAATAAATTTAACTTGAAATAGTTTTCCTCGTAAAGTCATCCGAAACCTTCACCCAAAATCAATACATTCATTGTTTTTATTTTATGTGCAGTAGACAACCGGGCGCATCAAATACAAAACAACCAAAAATTTTATAAGAGATTTCTAGTGTTTTCTGCGGATTTTGCGAGTCGTAGACTTAATTAAAATAACTTTTACGTGAAAACTGTAGAATGTTCGAAACTTCACAAAATACATAAGTAGATCAACGATCATTCAACTAAATTATGAAAAATTAATGATAAATTTCAATATCACGAAAAAAGCTTATTATATAAATAACATTTTTGACATCAATAACAACGCTTGTCATATGTGGAAATATTATAATTTACAAGTAACGAAGTCGTGATCAACCCTACGAATAAATAATAAGGTTCAACCTAATTTTGTAAATTTTGCGCGGAAAATTAAAAATAGAAACTGTCCGGTTGTCTATTGTCAAATAATGTCTAATAATATAAATTCAGCAATATGTTCAAAGAACATTAAGCTATATTGATAATAGTGAAAATAAATTATAATTCTTTAAATTTCAATAATCAAGAATCCAAAAAGTATGTGTATATTAACTGTAAAATTAATTAACAAAATACTATTATATTACAGAATTAAATAATAATTAATAGACATTTCTCTTGTATTTATAATGCATATGGCTCAAATGCATAAGATAATAAAACATAACAATTAACAATAAAAAATTTAAGATCTTAAATCTAATTAATGGAAGAC